TCTGTCTTGAATTAATTTTATAATGAAATGATTTTAGAATGTTGTATTATTTTATTGTTGTTAGCCACCCTGAGCCTGGCTTTGGCTGGGGAGGGCGGGATATAAATAAATTATTATTATTATTATTATTATTATTATTATTATTAGACAATGGAATGCACCTCCGGGGAGTGAAATCAAATTGCTGTGGTAGCAGCACTGAAGCAACCTCGCTGGGGTGCAAGCTGGCCATATATACAGTGTTTGATACTCCCATTGTTCTGGGCGCATTTTGCGACAAGGGATTACATTAGCGTGAGCAGTTTCTGAGCTCTGGGCACAGTACTGCACCTAAGATTTCAGATTAAAACTGCAGATTGGAAGGAAAGGACGAGCTTTTTCTGCCTCTCCACTTCCAGCTACTCTCCAAAGACTGGAGAAGAGACCCTCTTAAGAATAGTAGGGGTGGGTGGGGAGGGGAAGGACTAGACCATGTGAAAATTAACATGATATTTTAGCTGCAGTTCATTCATTTTCAGCTTTGCATTCTTGTTAATTAAAGTGCGCCTAGACATTCCATTGTTGCGCCCATAACTTAGGTTTAAGGCGCCATTTAGCACCTAGCTTTCATATCTCTGTTTCTAACACTGCGCGCGCGCACGCACACACTTTTTGCATCCCAAAAAGGTGAGGAGGAAGCACAGACACTCCGCCACAATATGAGATGACTAATTTATCTTAAAATCCACAAATGCACCCCGCTAAAATTAATGTTTTTCAGTTCCACACCTCTGGGCTTCTTGCAGTTGTCACTTCTCACTTCAAAAGGTTATTTTTCAAGATAAAATGTTTATATTATCCAATGTGAGGAGAATAAGTTTGCCCACGACTTTTCAGCCCACAGAATTTGCACGTCTGCCTTGGAAAATTCCACTTCCCCATCATATCCAGCCCACCTGAACGCAGTTCGAATTGCTGAATGAATGGGCACTCATGACTGCCCTAATCTTTTAAAAGTAGCAAAGGATGACCCACAGTCGGGTTCATGTGCTTCAAATTCTTTGAATCTCTCCTTGCCTCCAATACTGCTTTAATATTTTGTCCAGAAAATACCTGTTAAAATATACAGGTGAAAGTATAAATTGCCACCTCTATCAGCTACAATTTTTTAAGAGCATCCGTGGTTCAAAGGGGCTCAGGACCAGCAACACAGAATGCCTCCACCGACCTGCTCCCACATCTCCTAAGGCACAGAAGAAGGACCTTCATTCAGCTTCTCCTTCATTCATAAACTTTCAACTGCTGATGGAAGGAATTATAATGCAAGGTGAATTATGGGAGAATTCTGTAAAGAGCCCCAATACCCTAGAACAGGAGCAGGAAGCGGCTGTATTAATTCTTGCATCCAACTATGCCAGGGTTCAGCTGCACCAAAAAATCAGAATGGGTTGGTGCTCTCTCTCCAAACAGAAACTGGCCCAATTGCTATTTTACTATGAACTGTTTACTAAGGCAGCCTTGTGTTCTGCAGATCTTAACACTTGGCCTTTGAAAGTCAAGAGAGGAGACATTAAAAATAAAACGTAGCCCACTGTACATTACTCATACAAATAGCTTTCTTGAAATTAGTTATTTAAAGCAGCCACACATACCCAACTGTGCTAAGGAGCGTTGATCCTATTTCCGGGGAATTCCTACCGAAGACTTGTTTACATGCTACGAGTGGGTTGAATGACCTCACAGTAAAGTAACACAGAGAAGCGTGCAGAATGTTTGCTTCATACTGTACAGGCCACCGAATGGCCAATGCAAGACTGCAGAAATAATCATAAATAATAATAATTTTATTATTTATACCCCGTCCATCTGGCTGGGTTTCCACAGCCACTCTGGGTGGCTTACAGCATATACAAAAAGGTAAAGGGACCCCTGACCATTAGGTCCAGTCATGGCCGACTCTGGGGTTGCGGTGCTCATCTCGCTTTATTGGCCGAGGGAGCCGGCGTACAGCTTCCGGGTCATGTGGCTAGCATGACTAAGCCGCTTCTGGCAAACCAGAGCAGTGCACGGAAACGCCGTTTACCTTCCCGCCGGAGCGGTACCTATTTATCTACTTGCACTCTGACGTGCTTTCGAACTGCTAGGTTGGCAGGAGCAGGGACCGAGCAACGGGAGCTCACCCTGTCGCGGGGATTCAAACTGCCGACCTTCTGATTGGCAAGTCCTAGGCTCTGTGGTTTAACCCACAGCACCACCCCTTACAGCATATATAAAACACAGTAAAACATCAAACATTTTTTTAAAAAAAACTTCCCAGTATAGCCTTCAGAAGTCTTCTAAAAGTTGTGTTGCTCTTTTATCTCCTTGACGTCTGAAGGGAGGGTGTTCCACAGGGCAGGCGCCACTACCAAGAAGGCCCTCCGCCTGGTTCCCTGTAACTTCACTTCTCGCAGTGAGGGAACCAGTAGAAGACCTTCGGAGGGCCTCAGTGAAGTCATGATAGATAATTGCAGATAACAAATATTTGTTAACAGAACTCTTTTTTAAAATTTCTAAGGCAAATGGATGCAATAAACATGATAAACCTAACCCCAGACTCCATTCAGCCCTGATTATGTCACTTCTTAAACATTTCCCTCCTCCCCCCTTTCAATTGCAGGATTTTAAAATCCTTTGTTGGAATTGCTTCTTCCCGCATCACCAGGGCTTTGCCAGGAGCTTTCCTTGACTTCCCATTCCCTGCCGGACTGCTGTTGTTGACATTTCCCAGGCACCTATCTTGCAGGCCCTTTGTCTTATGACAAGATAATCAGCAGAAGCTAGATAACCACTTAAGAGAGAGGAAGTTAAACTGGCTCTCTTGTCGGCTGCAATGGCAAGGAGATTGCAGCGGGCTTGATGACATGAGAACAGACATTTGTAGCCCTTGGATCTATCTAGGAGTTTGGTTTGACCAGACTGCTCCTCTCTTTTCCACTGTAGCGAAATTGTCCAAGATTGCAAGCATCACTCCCCACACCCTCCTTTTGCTGTCATTCGGGAAAGGCTAAAGATTTCAGGCACACATGCAATGCAATCTCTGCAGTTTCTCAGCTGTTCTATCAAAAGAGACATTTCCATCTTAATCCTATGCCTCCAGGTCCCATACTTATGATGAATCTGCTTTATAATCAAGGTCAAGCCATTGGTCAACCCAGCCCAGCATTGTCTAGATTGGCAGAAGCACTCCAGAGTTTCAGAGTTTCCAGGAACCCAGGAAGTGCTCTACCATTGACCTATGTTCCTTCAGCCAAGGAACTGGGATCTGATTCACTGACTGGCCCAAGGACATTGTGATTTCCTGAGTAAACTATGGTTTGGCTTGTTTGTCTCATTAATAAACCATAGTACCTATGGGACCACTTCTCCTGGTATGCCCCGTGGAGGGCCTTAAGGTCCACAGATGACAACATTTTGGAGGTCCCAGGTCTCAAGGTGGTTAGATCGGTCTCAACTAGGGCCAGGGCCTTTTAGCACTGGCTCTGACTTGGTGGAACGCTCTGTCACAAGAGACTAGGGCCCTGCGGGACTTGACATCTTTCTGCAGGGCCTGCAGGACAGAGCTGTTCTGCCTGGCCTTTGGTTTGGACTCAGTCTGACCCTTATGTTTCCCTCCCCTTGTGGTTTTGACTTTTAAAATGAGGCTGCATTTTAAATGGCATTTTAGCCTGTATTTTAAATTGGGGTTTTTCTTTTCCTATTATGTTTATACTGTAATTTTACTGGTGTTAGCCGCCCTGAGCCTGGCTCTGGCCGGGGTATAAATAAAAATTTTGTTGTTGTTGTTGTTGTTGTTGTTAAACCAGGCTGCATTCAATGCTACGTGAGCAGAATTCTACCCACACAACAAGACTTCTCCCTTCTTCTCCAGGTGCCTCTCCAAAATTCAATCTGGAAGGTTACCCAACCCTCTGAAACAGGGTTTGGGTGTGTGCAGGGGGAGGGGGAGTTCCATCCTGCAAGCATAAGTCTGCTGCATGAGATGAATGTTGGGTGCAACCCCCTGTGTTTTAAAGTGAACAAGTATCTCACTGTATTCCTCCCCCACTCCTGCTGCTTGAGAACAAGACACGGAGTTTGGCTTGTTGCAACATCCAAACCCCGGCTTGTGGTTCTGTTTCCCACAAGCAAACCTTCATCAGGAAGTCAAGAACAAACCTCGCTTACCTGTCATGGTTTGGACATGACAACGAGGCAAGTTGTGGCTTGTTTCTGAGCAGAAAGCAGGAGAGGGGGAAGAAAGAGCACAGCAAGGACTTCTCAACAGTGTGCACCAGCATGTGAGCTTAGGTTAAACCATGGTTTGATGTGATGTACGACTCATGACACTGCCCAGTAAGGAGGAAGTGAGAGGTTCATGAGGGACAAAGAAATATCATAGGTTCTGCTCATTCAGTTCCTCCATCCAAACATAACTAGAGTAGTGTAGGAAGAAGCTGAAATGGACTTTGCTGTTAAGTGTGACTTGTCCCTAACAACAACAACAACAACAACAACAACAACAATTTATTATTTATACCCCGCCCATCTGGCTGAGTTTCCCCAGCCACTCTGGGCGGCTCCCAATCAAGTGTTAAAAACAATACAGCATTAAATATGAAAAACTTCCCTAAACAGGGCTGCCGTCAGATGTCTTTTAAAAATAGGATAGCTGCTTATTTTCTTGACATCTGGTGGGAGGGTGTTCCATAGGGTGGGCGCCACTACTGAAAAGGCCCTCTGTCTGGTTCCCTGTAACCTCACTTCTCGCAATGAGGGAACTGCCAGAAGGCCCTCGGCGCTGGATCTCAGTGTCTGGGCTGAATGATGGGGGTGGAGACACTCCTTCAGGTATACAGGAAATGTATACAATGGGTATACAGGTATACAATGTGAAATTGGTGACTTGTTCAAAGCCATGCAGAGAGAGTTGCCTGGGTAAGCAATGGATATGAACTAAGATCTACCCTACCCAAGTCCAACACTGTCCACTACAGAATACCACAGCTCAGTAGTAGGGCATCTGCCTTGCATGCAGAAGATTCCAGGTTCAATTCCCGGCATCTCTAGGTAGGGCTGGGAGATAATCCTAATCGAAACCCTGGAGAGCTGCTGCCAGTCTGTGTAGACAATACTGACCCATGGGGCAGACTTGGTACAAGGCAGCTTCCTGTGTTCCTATGTAATGCTGCTTTGCTTCCTGATAGATCTGCTTGAGACATTTCACATGCCCTTGGCAAAAAAAACAACCAAAAAACGCGCCATAGAATAAAATAATTTAAAGCATCACTTTTCTTGGAAGACGTGTATACCAGACACTGATCGAAACCTGATGACTAGATGTAATTTTTTAAAAAAATTACAAAATGTAGCTTAGCACCAGAACAATAAAATTGCTGGCTTACAGATGACAGGTCTCTCATGTTAAATCAGTTTATGATTTATATTGACCAGAGCACTCTCAGCAAAGTCCCAGTGCAAACAAACCCTTCCAGCCAACCTCATTCCCTTGAGCCAACAAGTCTTCATTTGCTAAAAGAAACGCTCATTTTACAGTATCTCATACATCTGGCAGCGACTGAAAAGCATCTAACTTAATCTGAAGTCAGATGTGGCAAAACAGAACCGGGGCTTTTTCGTGTTCCTCCCTCACTGGGGCGAAAGTGGGGCTAAATTCAGGCGGGCCGGATTCAAAACCCGAGCACCGCCGAACATCAGGTGTCTCAGTGTTCATTTTCAATTAAATAGGTTTCATGCAATGTTTGCAGAGATATAAATTGGCTGCAATGGAGAGGTTGTTTGGAGCAAGTTTCAAAAGAGTGGAGGGGGAGGGCGAGAGACTTTAAAGACCAATAAGCTAAGCTTTGGGTCAACATTTCATTGCAGCAATGTCAAAATGGTGCATCCCAGACTTTGCTTCCCAATCGTAAGATGTTTCTTGACATTTGACCAGAACCAACAATTGAAATGGGAGGTGGTTCGATCACACCTGGTATATGTTTGGGCCTCTTCCATCCCACCCCCAAACAGACATAAAAATGCTATGATAGCTGCTTTTCCATCCAGACAAGATGTTGTAAACACTCCTCGTTCCCATAATAACAAGAGGCACACACTGAGCTGAAATCAGCAGCCAGGCCGCATTGTTCCTCTTTCCTGAATCTTTCAGAGCAGCTGAGATCCCCAGGCCTTCGAGTTGCTAAGATGGAAAAATGCCCCGCAAAGTCTCCATATGGAGGCACGGAGAGCAGATTGGGCAATATTCCCTGGCTCCTGGAAACCATGACTAATAAGCTACTGGGAAGATTCCAAAACTGACTTGCTTCCCCACTGGAACAGAGGAATCAGTTGTTAAATGTGGAAAACCTGAACTTCCAACCATCCTACTTAGTCTCTGATTCATTCTATCTGGCAAGGAAACTGTTTCTCCTCTTATCAGGAGAACACGGGAGAGAGGAGAAAATGCACACAGAATTCTTTCTTGAAAATTGCAAAATCTCTGTCTCTTTCTCTGTCTTGTTGTTAATAATAATAATAATAATAATAATGACATTGTTACTAGGAGGAGTAAGAGAAGATGAACCTGAAGACCCGGTATATCAACTGCAAATTGTTTTACTAAAGTTTATGACAGGAACATCCTGCTCTTCCAATGAATTCTGATGTTCCAGCAGAAAACTGTTGTTGTTTTTTTATTCTTGGCGATTATCTGATTCCCCTCTGCCTTTTTCCCCCTACTTGACAGATTTTCTTTTAGAGAAGGGTGGGAAAAACCACACTGCACCTTACTGAGATCTTTTCACTGCAATGCAAATGCGTTAATGCAGCATGCTCGGCCAAAAAGCTGTTCCTCTACAAGCTCGTTCAGTGCCTGCTTATTTTCCAGACAAAAAAAGCAAAGGATAAGGAGAATGTGATTCTAACATACTGGGTACCATTGGATGTATATGCCTATGTGCTCAGGAAAGACAAGAAGAAGAAGAAGTCCATAAGACTTGCTTTGAACTATGCAATAATCCCAACACTCGTAAGCCTTAAATAACTTTCAGAGAGAAGAGAATAGGAGTTGCAAAACTAGGGCAGAGACATTAGAATACCCAGGTGTATAAAAGACTGTGCAGAACTGGCAAAAGTAACAGCAAAATTAAGAGAATTTAATGATGAATGTTTTATGGAAGAATAGGTGCCTTTTTCGGATTACTCAAAGAATTGTATGGTGAACTCATGAGCAGGATTTGAGCTATGAGCAACAGAAGTAATTAGATTATAATATCATGGTTATGATTTAATAGATAGAAGATCGGGTGCAGCTAAGGGGGAGAAACAACAGCTCCATGGAAATTGGGCTGGGAAGTCGACAAAAAGGAGAGAAAGGATGTTAAAAACGTTGAAATACATATATTTTTAAAAAAGAATACCCAGGTGTAAAGGCAAATAAAACAAAAAGATGTCACAATTTGCTCCAAATTTTTACACATGGTATGATAAAAGACTGTAATTTTATCAGGACACATTACTTGTAGTTTACTGTTGTAACAATTGTTTTCTCAAAATTTATCTTCTGTATCATGAAAACAAATAAAAACAGTATTATTATTTTTTTTTAAAAAAATCGCTTCGAATTCATCAGTGGCTCTTGTCAACAGATGCAGGGCTTTTTAAAATAATAATAATAATAATTAAATGCCGCACCAGTGACCTCCTTCCATAGCAGAATCCTGTTTGGACTTATCGGGGTAATTTGTTCATGCTGTGATCATTTCTACAGCGCCATCATTGCGCATGGTGCTTCATGACAGAGCAGAGGGGTATTTGCTTCAGCAGAAGACAATCTAAAGCAGCAGCAGGCAGCAGTGTGAAACTGCAACGCTCAACTGACCTCTGAACAGCAGCATCACTGTAGAATACTGGGTTGGAGAGGGGCAGGGTTGTGGTGGCGGCAGCGAGGTCAGCATGGTGCAAATGTACCAGGGGAACCAGTCTACAACACAAAGACCTGCAGTGACGCCACTGGACAGAGGTCCGGTGGGTGACGCAGCCCCACCATGTCCCACCCAAATTTGTTGATCTAAAAATTTGTTTCGGTTGCACGTGATTCAGATGAGCTGCAGTGGGGACAGTGCTGAAGGGAGTGGTGCCAAAGGCTTCGTAGAAATGGTGGGGCTTAAGGAGGAATCTGAAAGAGTAAGAGCAGTAGCTCCTATGTGGATCTTCCCCCAAGAGAAATTTTCTCCCGTTTAGACAACAATCTAAACCAGCTGTTTTGGACTACAGTTCCCATCAACCCTAACCACTGGTCCTGCCAGCTAGGGATGATGGGAGTTGTAGTCCAAAAACAGCTGGAGATCCAAGATTAGGGAACCCTGATCTAAACGAAGCCCGGCTGCTTTAAGCACTTTATAGAGCAGTGTGGGGAAAACTGGCTCCCCAGAAATTGCTGGACTCGTTCTCAGCATCTCTGACCATGAAGTATAGGGTTTAGCGCTGATATGGGAGTCCAACAGAGTCTAGAGGGCCGCAGGTTCCTCAACCCTCTCACAAACAGACCCGCTTTGATAGTAATCAAACCAAGTTTAACAAGAGTCCACCTTTGGGGTGAGAAGAAAGTTTTGCTACTAGGAAGTAGACACTGCCGCCAAAAGCCTTGACTGGTTACGGAATGAAAATGCTCACGTGAGCTAAAACTGCAATATTATTTCAAGCCAAGCAGCCGAAAATGCCCCAGCCGAAAAAGCAGCTCTTCTTTTTTTCTGTATTTCACCATATGCAAAACAACAACACCCAAGAAACTTTTAGAGTCTGTGTTTGTCAGGTACAGTCCCCCCCCCCCTTTTATTCCTGTGGCGGTGATTCACTTTAAGGGAGCATTTGCTGTTCCAAACAGATGTTGCTTCATAAAAAAGAGAAAGAATGCGTTTTGGGTTTTTTGCATTTGGCCTGAGAGAAACAGCATTCGCAAGTATCAAGGCAAATGCCCAGGGGTTTGTTGAGTCTATACCGATAGCACAGAGATGGGGAACCTCAGGAGTGTAGGCCTAATTCAGCCTTGTCTCTCCGGCGCTTGGGACTCTCCCCTTGCCACAGTCCTGTCAGCCCTACTTTCCTGCTTGCCTGGACAAAAGATAGAGATAGTGTGTCTGAATGTGTGCAGAAACTGCCCCACTATTACATTTGTTGCTTCGACTGCTCTTGCCTTAGACCTGCCCACTGCCGTCCGGTGGCCCCTGACAGGTTGTTCAGATGGGATTGTGGTCCTCAAGTGTCATGAGCCCTGAGGAACTGTCATGGAGGTGCTGGGCAGATCCTGAAGAGATGAGGGAAGAGATCCGGGAGTAGCAGGCAGAAGACCCAACGGGGATGAGGAAGGTGGTATCTGTGCTTCAAGAACAGTTGAAAGGCACCCATAACAAGTTCTGTTGTTGAAGCCAGTTGCCCAAGACATTTTGCTGCATGAGCTGAAGGGCAAGATGGCTTCCCCATCCAAATTCCAGGTACAGAAGCCAACAGGGATGGCAGCTGAATCTTATTCTGATACTCGCGATGGGATAGTTTCATCCACCCACACCCAAGGGCAGCAGGACAGGCCGTGTAGCGCACCAAGTTCTGTCCTCCAAAAGAAGAGGGAGAAAGATATGTCTGAAGGGCTCAGGAGACACAACTATGGGCTTCAGCCACCAGCTCCCTCTCCTGCGTACGTGACTCGAACTGGTTGCTTCACTCTGCCTCATGGTAGAGAGATTTATTAGTGGCACCTTACATGCCGCTTTACGAACAAACAGGTACAGCGGTACCTCGGGTTACATACGCTTGAGGTTACAGACTCCGCTAACCCAGAAATATTACCTCGGGTTGAGAACTTTGCTTCAGGATGAGAACAGAAATTGCAGCGGCAGCAGGAGGCCCCATTAGCTAAAGTGGTGCTTCAGGTTAAGAACAGTTTCAGTTTAAGCACAAACCTCCGGAACGAATTAAGTACTTAACCCGAGGTACCACTGTATGATCTAAAGCAGTGTTTCCCTAGCTGGGGTCTCCAGCTGTTTTTGGACTACAACTCCCATCGTCCCTAGCCAGCAGGACCCCCAGTGGTCAAGGATGATGGGAATTATAGTCCAAAAACAGCTGGAGACCCAAGTTCGGGAAACCCTGAACTAAAGGTAGACACGAGAGTGGAGGCAGGGGAAGAACGTGTGGTTTTATACATGTGTGCAAGAGAAAGAAAGAGAGAGAGAGAAAATGAATGAATGAATGAATTGTAGCCAAGCAGAAAGGCGAGAGTTCACAACTTGTAGCAGCTGTTTTTGGGATGCTGCACCAATACTGGGTGGCCACCTCCGAAACTGCATTTTTTTAAAATTAAAAAAAAGAGAGAGAGAAAGTTTTATAAGAATCAGGCTTTGGGATTTCTAGCCTGAAGCTCCTTCCCCTTTCTCCCAATTTTCCACAAGCCAACAGTGCATTCCTGCTTCCCTTCCTTACAAGCCTTAAGGCAGGGACCTCCATGGTCGTTTGGGAAGACTTGTCCCCTTCCTGCAAACGATTCCAGTCTGCATGCGCTAAGCTGAATGGCTAACTGAAGCTGAGGTTCATGGACTTACTGAACTTAAAGAGAGAGACAGAATGAAATGAAAACTCTGGCCAAATAGGTTCCAGGCACATATTCTGTGCTGCTCCAGCACACACACACACACACACAACACCACATACGTACACACTTGGGATACAAGAATAAGCAGCTGGGGCAGCATTACTCGGAATAGTGTTTTGCATTCAAGCATGGCTCTGTAAAATTTCAGAGCACAAGTTTCTTAGCTAACTGGACAGCGTGCCAGCAAGGCAGATAAGCTTTTGCCTCTAAAAAGATTAGCTTCGTCTAATAGATGGAGAAGCCAGCGGGAGAGAAGAGAGAAGGTTGTACTGCATCCTTCGCTGTTAACACTGTTGTGCTCCTTCAAAAGAGAGAGGCGCACATCCCAGGATGCTCTGCAGCTCGCGTCTTAACGGCGCGTGCAAATAAGTCAACCATTAAAGCAAAACCATGTGCACATTTATTTATTGCAAAACTTTGTGAAACTCAGGACTGTTGTTGCGATCGTAATCCTGCTCAGTACGAGAGGAACCGCAGGTTCAGACCTTTGGTGTATGTGCTTGGCTGAGGAGCCAAATGGGCGAAGCTACCAACTGTGGGATTATGACTGAACGCCTCCTCCGCAGATCGGCCATGATGGCAGAGACACATGCTAGTGATAGTAGCAGTATGATAGCCCCAAAACTGTGGAACTCCCTTCCTATTGACTCATGCTTTGCCCCACTGCTTGAGTGAGCTTTAAATACCTTCTATTCCATTCCATCAAAGGCCTTCAGCTGAGATAGGGTTGCCATATTTCCAAAAGTGAAAATCTGGACACAAAAATCGTTGAGCAAAGTTGTTGCCAAAAAAAGAGAAAGAAGTTATTAAGCTATTTTCAGGGAAATTTCCAAAAATAATCTGGATTTTCCGGGATATTTAAGCAATTTCTACCCTAGTCCCCATATTTAACTGAAATATTTCAACGATAGAAAACATGGTGTCTTCTAAGGGTCATTCTCTAGCACATGCAGTTAGGAGATCCAGGACTGGGAAAGTTATCTGGCTAAGGCCTTGGCAGAGAATCTGAAAATCAGGACAGACTTCTTCTTCTTCTTCTTCTTCCTATTATTATTATTATTCCACCCTTCATCCTCCAAGGGCAGTTTACAATATAAAAACACAAAAAATGCATACCACAGAAAAACAATAATGTAAAGGTAAAGGGACCCCTGACCATTAGGTCCAGTCATGGCCGAGTCTGGGGTTGCGGCGCTCATCTCGCTTTATTGGCCGAGGGAGAACAGCTTCCGGGTCATGTGGCCAGCATGACTAAGCCGCTTCTGGCGAACCAGAGCAGCACACGGAAACGCCGTTTATCTTCTCGCCCTATTTATCTACTTGCACTTTGTGCTTTCGAACTGCTAGGTTGGCAGGAGCTGGGACCGAGCAATGGGAGCTCACCCCGTCGCGGGGATTCGAACCGCCGATCTGATCGGCAAGTCCTAGGCTCTGTGGTTTAACCCACAGCGCCACCTGCGTCCCAGGAAAAACAATAGCTCCACACAAATGGTTTAAAACAGTGTTTCTCAACCTTAGTTCCCCACCTGTTGTTGGACTTCAGCTCCCATCATCCCTGCCCCTAATTCTGCTAGCTAAGGATGATGGGAGTTGTAGTCCCAACAACAGGTAGGAGTCCACGGCTGAGAAACATTGGTTTTAAAGGCCATAGATTGTTTAATTATCCAAAGGCCTGGGAGAAGCAAAGTGCTCTACATCGCTAAAAGCACAAGGTTGGAAGACTTAGGTGTGAGTTTACACCATTGTTCGAAACTCCCATTGTTCTAGGCACATTTTGCAACAGAGAATTTCATTAGCCCAAGCATTTTCTGAGCTTTGGGTGCAGTGCTGCGCCTAAGATTTCAGATTAAAACTGCAGAGTGGAAGGAAAGGGCGACCGTTTTCTGCCTCATCCAGCTACTCTCTGAAGACCAGAGAAGAGACCCTCTTAAGAATAATAGGGGTGGGTGGGAAGGGGAAGGGGAAGGACTAGACCATGTGAAAAACTAACATAATATTTTAGCTATAGTTCATTCATTTTCAGCCTTGTATCCTGGTTATAAAAAAGCGTGCCTAGACATTCTGTTGCTGCGCCCATAACCTAGGTTTAAGGTGCCATTTAGCTCCTAGCTTTCATATCTCAGTATCTAACACGGATTTACCCATGACGCACAGAAATCAGCCTTTGGTTCTACGTCGCGTTTCAAGAGCCAAACTCAAAAAGAAAGCGGCTGTTGACCAGGTTGCTAACTCAGAATGGTTTCAGATACAGATCTAAATGAAAAAGTCCAGTTGCGATTACTCAGTCAAACCGTCATCTGCGCCCATCAGATACCACAGTATTAAGAGGTACACACAGATTAGCGCAAGAAAATAAAATCCCAAGAAGAGGACTTGCCTAGTCAAAGGCAGAGACAGGAGTCACAGGTACTGCTTGCTCTGCCCTCTGCCTCTATGGAAGTAAAATATTTGGGGGAGTTATGCCTGGACAAAATGTAACTTGAGAAGGACTCTCATGAGAACATAAGAAAAGCCAGCTGGATCAGGCCCATCTGGTCCAGCATCCTGTTTTCACAGTGGCCAACCAGACGCCTATAGCAAGCCAACTTGCAAGAACAGAGCACAAGAGAACTCTCGCCTCCTGCAGTTTCCAGTTACAGTGCTACCTTGGTTCTCAGACTTAATCCATTCCAGAAGTCCTTTCCAAAACCAAAGCGTTCCAAAACCAAGGCGTGCTTTGCCATAGAATGGATTAATCCATTCCAGACTTTTAAAAACAACCCGTAAAACGGAAATGTAACAATGAATTTTACCATCTAATGAGACCACTGATCTATAAAACGAAAGCAATAAACAATGTACTGCAGTCACACAATCAATCAATCAGTAGCTGAACTGGGTTCCACACAGTCACAAAAACAAAACAAAAAGAGCCACAAAAACGCAAAAGAAATAGCAAAAACAGACAGACCTCAGCATAACACTCAAAATGCAGGATTTAACTTCCTTCCGCAGGGCCTGTAAGACAGGGCTATTCTGCCTGGCTTTCGATTTGAACTTATCCTAATCTTTTTATTCCCCTTCCTTCCCTCCCCCTCCCCTTTTTATGAAGATTACCCGCTCTGGGATCCCACAGCTAATTCTCCCCTGGTCTCCACGCTGGCCCAAATAGGACTAATTTAGCCAGCTAGCCCTGGTGATCATCTAATGTTTATTGGATGGATTTTCCCCCTAAATTGATTTTTGAATTCTGAATTTATTGTTATTCCCGTTTCATATTGAATGCTGTTTTTTGTTGCATCAATTAAGTGTTTTAAATTTGTTGGTAGCCACCCTGAACCCAGTTTTCTGAGCCGGGAAGGGCGGGGTATAAATAAAAAATCATTATAAAATTTATTATAAAATGGAAGTATGGCACTCAGAACGGAAACATAACACTCAAAACTGAGCATGTTCGGCTTCCAAAAAAAGTTTGCAGATTGCAAACAGGTTTGCACTGTTTGGGTTCCAAGTTGTTTGTGTACCAAGGCGTTTGAGAACCAAGGTACCACTGTATTGATATTCAGAAGCATCACTGTCCCTTGCTGTGGAAGCAGAGCAGAGCCTCCATCGTGACTAGCAGCCACTGATACAGCTTTAAAGGTAAAGTAAAGGTAAAGGTCCAGTCGTGACCGACTCTGGGGTTGCGGCGCTCATCTCACTTTACTGGCTGAGGGAGCCGGCATACAGCTTCCGGGTCATGTGGCCAGCATGACTGAGCCACTTCTGGTGAACCAGAGCAGCACACGGAAACGCTATTTACCTTCCCGCCAGAGTGGTACCTATTTATCTACTTACACTTTGACGTGCTTTCGAACTGCTAGGTTGGCAGGAGCTGGGACCGAGCAACGGGAGCTCACCCCGTAGTGAAGATTTGAACCGCCGACCTTCTGATCGGCAAGTCCTAGGCTCTGTGGTTTAACCCACAGCGCCACCCACGTCCCTGATACAGCTTTACCCTCCACAAATTTGTCTAATCCTCTTTTAAAGCCATCCAAGTTGGCAGCCAGCCATCGCCGCCCCTTGCGGGAGCGAGTTCCGCAGTTCAACTAGGAGCTGCGCGAAGAAATGCTCCCAAATCTATAAACCTTAATAAGCAAGGAAAGCAAGCTAATTTTCATTTTCTCTCTCCCAATGTCTGCTGCTATCATGGCCCTTGGAATTCCATTTACATAGCATTTTAAAAATAAAAAATAAAAAAGAAGTTTGAAATGAGGAAGAGCCAGAAGGATAACATTTTCCAGCCCCTTTACTAGGGAAGGGGGCTTAAAAAATATTTTGGCGGATATGCCAGTGGGCCAGTGTGGCAAATGGAACAGTAATTAAAGAAAAGGAAAGAAAGATGATCACATCTGGACATGGGACACAGTAGCATTTTCTGTTGGCACACAAATATTACTTTGGCTCTCTTCCACTCTGGCAGATTGAAAGAAGTCCCATTAGATGAGATTTACACGAGTGAAGATTAAATTCTCCCCTCTCTGCCACTACTTTGCATGCAGTATCATTTTACACACACACACACCCTAGACCAAACCAAAATAGCTTTTCTCATTTCAACCGATATACATTTTTAGATGCATTTCAAAAACACCCCACTTGGCTTAACTATTTGTTGAACATGCACGCAAACACACAAAACACACACACTTGTGTTGGATAAGAGGAATCCAACGTAATGGTAGCTTGGTAACGTTTTATTTAGGCTTTATTAAATACAAAAAACCCTGCCACCCAAGAATCCAGCAATTGCTTTACCGCAGAGCTTCTTACTCACAAGAGTTTCCATGTCATTTAGAAATCATCCTTAATAGGTAAGGGATCAAGGCCATGCGGGAGAAAGGATAGTCTCAGTCAATGATTTAGTGTGGCGAGCCATACTCCAGCCTCGATTCTTACAAATCCAGTTTCAAGATGTATGGTAGCGTTGGAGACGTGTTTAGGCACCTGTGGGGCTGGTCTTAAGAATTTAGACGGTACCAATTCTAATGGTGTGCAATTGGCAAGGGGGCCTAATTGGGCACCATATATAGACAAGCTGCGCAATGGATTTGGCCTCAAACAGTTTGAGGGCTGCGGGTATATATGGTCTGCCTTCAGTCGTGAGGTACCTGAGTATTTATGCTTCTCTGGGCATTCCCTGCAACATAATCCCCGTGGGCTTTTCTGCTTCCCGTGGAGTGAAGGGTTATACCCAAATATTTGAAGCAGGTGACCTGCTCAAACTTATGGCCATCGATGTACCATGAGAAAGGTTTGGGCCTTTTGGCAAAGACTATGATTTTCTGATCATTTAGTTCTAGTTTGGAGGAGAGATCTGATTTGTCCACAACTCTAGGTAAAGGGACCCCTGACCATTAGGTCTAGTCGTGGCCGACTCTGGGGTTGTAGCGCTCATCTCGCTTTATTGGCCGAGGGAGCCGGCGTACAGCTTCCGGGTCATGTGGCCAGCATGACTAAGCCGCTTCTGGCGAACCAGAGCAGCGCACGGAAATGCCATTTACCTTCCCACCAGAGCGGTACCTATTGATCTACTTGCACTTTGACGTGCTTTCAAACTGCTAGGTTGGCAGGAGCAGGGACCAAGCAACAGGAGCTCACCCCGTCGTGGGGATTCGCACCCCCGACCTTCTGATCGGCCAGTCCTAGGCTCTGTGGTTTAACCCACAGCGCCACCCATGTCCCTTCCCGTGTCCACAACTCTAGCAGTGTCCAAAATCCCCCAGGCACTGGGCGTGTTTTGCAACTGGCACAGGTCCAATAGTGAACATGTGGAGATCTCTGGATGCTAGGTTGGCACCTGGCATTTCCATCTGGCTGGCTCCTCCACATTTTCTTAAGCAGGTACGCAGAAGAGCTTTTTTATTGCATTATATACCACCCTTTTCTCCAAGGCGTCCATGGTTCACCCCACTCCTCAGTTAATCCCTACAACAACCCGGTAAGGTAGATCTGAAATAATTTCCTAGAAGCTTGAAATTGTTTCTAATCTGGATTGTTTTATTTGATGTTTTAATGTGCTTTGAGGTTAGTTCTTTAAAATATAAAGCGGTATAGGAATGAAATAATAATGAATATAATAATAATAGACTTCATTGGAAAAAATGGCACAGAACAGGGGTAGCTAACATGGTGCCCTTGAGATATTATCGGAACATTGTTAGACTACAACTCCCATGATCCCTGACCACTGGACATGATGGGTTTTGTAGTCCATCAATATCCACACTGGCTCCCACTGATGCGGACTGACAGAATTTAGTGTATGGGCATGACTGGGATGGAGAGGTACCTTTTCCCACTTTTGGGGGATGGGGAGAAGATTTAATTCCTTAAAAGGGCAATCAACTAGCAAAGTCACATGGGTAGAGAGCCGTGGCAGATGTCCAGATTCATTCGATTACTTCCTCGCATGCAATCACTTGTCAAGACAAAGGAATACTAATGATGCTGGCCTTTGGGCCACTGCCTTTTAAAAACACCACCTCCAAACCTTGCAATTCTGATCTAATGAATGCCATGAGCCCAGGAGGAGGAGAAAAAAATAAATATGTTGTTTCACCCCTAACGTAGCCGCAGAAAGAATAAGGCAGAGCCGAATATTATTTGCAAGAGACGCAAGGGCTACTCATAACCTAAACTTTACCATTTTAAACCACGGAAAAACCAGACAGTCATTCATGGTATATCTATGTACAGTATATATAATGAAGTCAAGAGCATTCTTCATTTAACAGGTAAATGTTAGCAGCCCATTTATTAGCAGAACCTGATGGGGCTTTGATATACCTCATGGTTGAGAAAAGCAAGGTTTCCAAGCATAGAGAGACAGAGCCTTTAAGGTAAATTCACTTCTCTCCTCTTTAAGCCACGGACCATAAATTCTCCTGGTGTTTGAGGTTTCAAACTGTGGCTTCCCTTGTGAAGATTTTCACACCTACAGGGAAAAGATGCAGAACCCTGTGGTAACATTCTCATGTCACTTTACATTTGATGGGGAGGCAGGGGGTGTGGGCAGCGAGTCCTATTATTATTATTATTATTATTATTATTATTATTATTATTATTTCAGATGGCAGAAGTATACGCTGATGCCTTTCAACCTCAGTTAGGTGTTGCTGTTTTTCTTTTCTTTTTATTTTAAAGAACTAAAGGAGTTGCATCACCTTCAAAGCCGATAAAAGGCAAGTTGAGGGGGTTTTCCTGAAGTGTTTTTACACTCAAAGCCCTTTTTCGTTCTGGTTCAGGAGAGGAATGACACGGTATCAGATTTACAATTGAAACGGTATTTCCACCTGGCCTCAAGAATTGCGTTTCTGCCATTTGATCAAACTCCTAATTCTAACTCTGGAATGACTGCCCACCCCATCACACAATTTTTTTTTGGGGGGGGGTAGGAAATACATGACAGCAAATACCAGCCAAAGTACACTAAGTTCGTTTCGTTTTTCCTCATTCCACCCAATTTAGATTTACAGTTTCTAGGTTTTTCGTTTGATGACAACAAGTGTTCAATAGAGTGAGAGCAGAGGCGTTTTAATAGGAATAAAAGACAGATCCCAAAGTGTTTTGAGAAGGTGCACTCTTAAACCAGGGAATTTAAGATACTCTTATTAGATAGAGGAGTTCTGTTGAAAGCAACCTAAAACTGGAGAGCCTTCCTGAAATCATACATATATCCCCTGAAAGATTGGGTGTATCTTTATTTATTTTCTATACTAATTTGTTGCCACTGAAACCCCCTTTGTGACTGCTTTTTATCATCTGGATACCTGGGGTGAGAGCTGGTTTTACATCTGGTTTGCGATTTTTTATTATTCTTGGAGTTTCTTCAGCACAGTGCATTCTGGGGACGAATTCCAATTATTTTGAATTTCTAGCACACACACAAAATTAGTTGTTGCATTCAAATGCAATGGTAAACTATGGTTTATCATTAACATGAATGAACCTCAGGCTTATAAGGCATCCATTGTTTAATTCCTCTTCTTCCTCTTCTTCTTCTTTTATTTACACCCCACCCATATGCCTGGCTTTCCCCAGCCACTCTGGGCAGCTTACATGTGGCTGCAAAGAGATCAGAAGCTTCCGCTTCCCTTTTAAACCAACCACAGTTTAGCATTACGTCCAAAGCCAGGTACACTGTGCTTAGCCCGAACTATGGTTGACTGAAACAAGCCCCAACTTCAAACCTTCGTTTATGAAGCTGCCTTTTTTCAATAAACCATAGTTAAGGTCCCAGTTTACTGTTCAGAGGTAAAGCTAAACCGGTTAATTAAAAAAAGCAGTTTCTGTATACGGCTTAGAAACCATTTTTAAGGGGCATATAAATTATTGAAACAATAAATGATAATAAATATATAGTGAAAGCTTCCAATCTCTTCCTTGTGGATGTACTGGCAGGGGAAGTAGGGAAACTCATGAACTTTAAATGATGATGATAATAATAATAATAATAATTATTATTATTATTATTATTATTAACACTCTGCCTATCTGACTGGGTTCATATGATGATAAACCATCGTTTATTGTTTCTTCTGAATGAAATCCATGTGCATTTAACAAACATGAATGGGTAGTTGTACTTTGTTATGAATCAATCATTTTAGAGTAGTGGAAGAATAAATGGAGTTTCACCAACAAAGAAAGAGGAAAAGAGTTGTGTGAGTTAGCAGCCATTTTTTTTCCTCCTTCAGAGAACTCCGGCATCCTGACCAGATGCTGAATCGCATTCCAAGGCCCATCTGTTTCTCAGTTTAGCAACATAAATTTTAGTTCAATATGTTGTAGTAACAAGATATTTTTAAAAACCAACATGAGGCTATGCAAGGGGTCGTGGTAAAGGCAGCTTTCAATGTTGTGTAGATGCCAGCAGTTACAGAGATAGGTGTCGTTGCTGAAGAAGGTGTCATCAAATACTGTAACTTTCAGTGGCCACAATAAGCTGTTGCGACTGAAATGTTAACTGTGTTGTTTGCAAGACCTCACTACAGTATTCCATTTGTTTAAGCCTTTAACATTCGCATCTGCCGCACAGGAATACAGTATAATTCAGTACTAACAAGCAGCATTTGAAATGGGTAGAGGGGCCAAGCAGAGAAGACATTGTTCTCTTCCTTCTTTGCAATGTTTGCTAAGGACTAGGATCAACTGCACACTTCTCCCTTTTTAGAGGCTGCTCCAAAACTGGCACAACTTTATTTGGTCATCATGGCAAAACCCTTAGAATGACAACATACAGTCAAAACATATTTTAAAAAATTAAAAATTGTCCAGTAGCACCTTAGAGACCAACTAAGTTTGTTCTTGGTATAAGCTTGGGATAATGCACACAGTGACTTGCGATCTCGATCACACGCAGTCTGTAGTCCACTGGCAGTAGGAGTACAATATGGGTATGTCTTTAAGTTAACATCTTACATTAAAAACCTGCCAGTACCTAACTATCGAAGGCTTTTCACCAAAGCCAGACTAAACGTCTTTCCTTCTGCAGTGTTGGATGGCAGGTTGCAAGGAGTTCCCTACCAGGACAGACTTTGCTCGTGTGCTCAAGACATCGATTCCATAAAACATATTTTGTTGCATTGTGCAAAATATGAGCAAGCCAGGGCTGAACTGATACTACCCTTGCTGGTACCTTTCCCGGGAAAATCAGAGGCTCACTATGTCAGGTTCCTATTGGAAGACCAGACAAACGTTAGAACATTAGCAGTGGCAAAGTTTTTATCGGTGGCTGCAAGAACTAATGATCCCTATATTCTGAACAAAATGCTTGATTAACCTGGAGGTAGGCTGTATGAATTGTGCATTGCTTTGTAACGATTTGTTGGGTCTCTGGACCGTAATAAAGATTGATGATGATGATGATAAGCTTTCGTGTGCATGCACACTTCTTCAGATACTACCCAGATATCTGAAGAAGTGTGCATGCACATGAAAGCTTATACCAAGAACAAACTTAGTTGGTCTTTATGTGCTACTGGACAATTATTATTTATTTTACTTTATTTTTTATATGTTTTGACTGCAGCAGACCAACACGGCTACCTACCTGAATCTAGAACACATAGACAGGCGTAATATAAATAGAGGACTTGCAGCAATTTATTCAGCCATGATATGAACCCATCTGCACATTATTTGTGATAGATCCAAGACTGTTAGTGCAGGGACAGGGAACCTGCGGCACTCCAGATGTTGCTAGACTACAAATCCCATCATCCGTGGTGACGCTGCTTCCAAACCACTCTACCGCCATGCCTGTCTTCATCCCCAGCTTGCCCAAGGGCATACAACACACCCTGGCCTCCATACTAACGTTTCCTGGAATCTGTTGCCTTCCAGATGTTTTGGACTACAATTCCCATCAACCCATTGTCTGGAGACAACTTGATTTCTAAAAGAGGTCTAGGAAGGAGGGGGTGGCAATCATATCACACTCTTGTGAGCTGTCAATAGTCGGGAAAAGGTACAGAACCTCATACAATGGCGCTTCCATTGCTTTAATGCAACAAGCAAAGCCGCAGCAAGACTTTCAGTTCCTTATCAGTGAATGATAACAAAACATTAATAGATGAAGAGACTTTAAATAACAGCGGAGAGTTTCTTAAGGAAAGAGAGCGAGAGAGAGAAGAATGGAGATCAGTGGAGCTCGTGCTTTTTAATAAAAGGTCAAATTTCTATGCAGAGCGCACTTCAAAAGCCAAAAAAATTAAAAGAAGTTTTGCCACAACTTGTTCCACATTTAAAGAAAGGTTTCTTGCGGTTCCCTTGAGATCTCGCAACCTGAAAACGGCATTCCAACAGGATGTCTGTAACAAAAAAAATCAACAGGTTTGCATGAGAGAGGGGGGGGGGAGATTGCAAGCTACATTCAGACCCTCTCTCATCGTTGAAGAGCAAGCAGGGCTAAGACAGAACAAGTCCTTTGGCAACAGGTTGCCATGACCCCTTTGGAAAACAAAGGAAGACCAGGAAAAAATCAAACATCAAGGTAGCTTTGATAGGAAACAGTCCACCACAGGCCCGCAATCAGCAACAGTGGTTTGAATTCCCAAGATTCCACAAGGATAAATTTAGGGGGGTTGTGGAATGTTCCCAGGCTAGGAAAGATGCAAAAGGAGACAATATAAAATGGGTTTGTGGCAAGTGTGCCAGCCGCACAGAGAACTTTTTTTGCACTGCCACCCAACCAGCAATAAATTTGGAAGGAGGTTTGAAAAAACAACAACAGGTAGATTTTCAATAGGACAACCAGACCTCCTATTTCAAATCCCACACCTCATTAACACAGGACACTGCTTTCATACCAGGTCAAACTATTTGCTCCAAACTTCTCCAGCCAGATGTTGCTGGACTATTTATTCATTTACAAATATTCTTTATTGAATTTTAATAACAGGCAGTAAGCAGATTGACAAGTAACAGACAGGTCACAGAAGAAAAAAAGGGGGGGGAGTTTTTAAATGATCAGTTGTCACAACTGCCTATAAGGAAATACAGGATTGAGCTATGTGATTTACTGAGTCAATAATTAAACATACCGAGAGGAAAGGAATGTGTGATCTATGATTACAGAGGGTTACATAGTCTTAAAAAAAGATAAAAAGCAACATTAACCTGGCCTATTTATCAGGTTTCCTACCCATCTGTCACTGCAAGGTCGCAAGCATGGATTTTTAATAACAAAAAGAATGCAATTATTTTAAAAAGACCAAAAAATGAATTACAACCTTAAAACAAGGAAAAGTGTAAAAAAAATTAATTAAAAACAGATATATATATATATATATATATATATATATATATATACACACACACACACACTATGCATTCCAATACATCAAAATATTGCAAACAATCCCATACATAAAAACTGCTAAAGGTAGTTCTAACAAGAAGCAAACTGGAAGAATCTCTACTTAAAGGGTTTGCTGAAAAAGGAAGGTCTTCCGTAGAAATGACAAGAGACAGTGCCCCCAGTACCCATCATTCCTGGCTACTAGCCATGCTGTCTGGGGCTGATGGGAGTTTGAGTCCAACAACAACTGGGGACGGCTGCTATACTTTGCCAGTGGTTCTCTCCAGGATCTGTCTTTCCCATCACCTGGAGCTTCCAGGGGCTGAACTTGGACCTTTCTATACGTAGCGTGCTAAGATATGGCGTCTGCTCCCTCCCAAGGAATAACTCCATAACAGACTCGTCTTTTTCCCCTTCTTCCACGACATGGGAAAACCAAGCAGCGCTGTGAAAATGAACAAACAGGATAGATTCTTGCCCTTTCCTACAAAGCAGGGAGGAAGTTCGGCGAGAAGCAAATCGAGTTTTTCACACATGAGCAAATGTCAATTTTGGGCTGGCGAGAAGAAAATCCTTTGTTGCAATTTGCTTGCATTTTATCATCTCAAAACAGATAGGGGTTAGTGGATGGATCTGGAACACACTCTCGTTGGTCCAAAAGGCCATTTAAGTAGGATAAACAAATGTTTAGGTGTGTCTGCTGTCTACAGACAGCGGCATACGGCAATTTTTCAAAAAGTCAAGATAGCGAACTTTCAAACATCCGGAGCTTGTTAGACACGCATACAGCTCTTTGTTCCTAATACAGTCAAGTCAAAAGTAGAACAAAATATAACTCAGAGAAGCAATGTATAGCCTAATGACTTTTGCTGACATCTTGAAAATTCCAGGGCTTATTTGTTCTGCAAGTAGTAACCTTAAGATTACTCTGGCTTTATCATAAGTCAGCATAGCACATATATGCTGATGTGCTAGTTCTTCTGCACATGACTCTCCCATCAGAAACAGCTCAGTACATACCAAACTTCACACCCTGCACAGAAGAGGGTTGTAGCAACTTATCGAGCTCTGGAGGCACTGACTTTTAGCAACCAAAAAATATCCTATTGGATAGCTCAGTTGGTAGAGCATGGGACTCTTAATCTCAGGGTTGTGGGTTTGAGCCCCACGTTGGGCAAAAGATTCCTGCATTGCAGGGGCTTGGACTGCGTGACCCTCCAACTCTACAATTCTATGAAGATTTGGAGCAGTGAGGTGTGCTGTAAAAAGCAACCTGTCCAGTTCTTGACGGTTGCCGAAGGTGGTCCTCACTGTGCTTCTCTGGGCTAGAACCCAGAGCAGGAATTGTATCTATTGCAGCGGAAGCAGTGTGCCAACCAGGATATGCGGTTCAGTTCTTACCGAGCATATAAGCTTAGACTCATTGCACGGAAAACAATATCAGCACAAGGAGCAGGAGGTTAAAATGCAACTTGAGAAAGAGAATCATTAAGATGCAATCATTAGTAATTGCTGGGATGGTCTAGGAACAGAGGCTTTTAGTTCTCACCATCTGCCCCTTGGGGTTAGGACTTGAAATTGCTGCTCTGTACACAATCGCATTTTCTGAACTAGATCACATGTAATTTTATACACACACGCACAAAATTAGTTTTTTAAATATCTTGTTTACTTTCTATCTTGTATGAAATGTTATATATTATTATCTATTTCTCCCCATGATGTTGTATATTTGTGCATACGTTTTGAATGCATTTTCTTCTGTGAACCACTTTGAGTATAAATGCGTAGAAATTCAGCATCTCGCAATGGTTCCAATGGTGATGGTGTGGTTAGCTTCAGAACTGCCTTGGATGGGAAGTATTCTCAGGCTCTAGATTAGCCACTCCTACTCAGGAAGGACCACAGAGTTATGAACTTTGCCTGAGAACAAGAACTGGTCTTTCTTTGCTTCCTCTGTCTACTGCCCATCACCTGACCATGGAACCCATGATGTATTTATTTCTTAATTATTTGCTGCATTCATACCCTACCTTTCCTCAAAGGAGCTCAAAGAACCCTCAATTAATGCGCACAACATCCCTGTGAGGTAGGTTAGGCTGAGAGGCAGTGAGAACCAGCTCTGACCTTAAGAATACTGAACCATGCTATTGATCTGTCTTCATCCATGTTGTCTAGAATGAATGGCAACAGTTCTCCAGGGTTTGAGATTGTGTGTCGCAGCCCTGCCCGGAGACATGAGTGACTGAACCTGGGAGCTTCTGCATGCAAAACATATTGCTCTTCCACTGATCTGTGGCTCTGCAATGCTTGAGTAGACTTCTTTTATTTAAAAACCATACCAACCATTCTTTACGAATAATTTCCCTCCTTTGTCTTGTACGATTGCATTGCATATCAGAATGATAGCATTGCATATCAGAATGCAATTTCGCATCGAATTCTAAACACTCCCCCCCCCCCCGACAAGAAACACGACTGGGAGGGTGATGGATGAACGGATAAGGAATTCTGTGCAGAACAGACAGAAGCACAACATGAAACCATGCAAGCAAACTCTGCGCAGCTTAGCAGTGTGACATAAACCTCTGCAAACTGAGCACACTGTGCCAGCTTGCCTCTGCCGTGTTCATTAAATTGCTAAGCAAAATAGGGGAAATGGTGTGGGTTCAGTGGTAGAAAAGACTTCAAAGGTTCCAGGTTCAATGCCAGGTACCCTAAGTAAGTCTATGCAATGCCCTTGTACTAAATCCTGGAGAGCCAATGGCAGTCACTATAGACAGCATTGAGCGAGATGCAGTGCACTTATTTTGCCCAGTGCATTATTTCCACCTTCCCATTTCGACTCTCTGGCACCCTATCTGCATAACCTAGCAATTCTAAAATATAGACGCGCTCTTACTCTCGCAAGATTGAATGTACAGTGGTACCTCGGGTTAAGTACTTAATTCGTTCTGGAGGTCCGTTCTTATACTGAAACTGCTCTTAACCTGAGCTAATGGGGCCTCCCGCTGCCACTGTGCCGCCAGAGCATGATTTCTGTTCTCATCCTGAAGCAACGTTCTTAACCCGAGGTACTATTTCTCGGTTAGTGGAGTCTGTAACCTGAAGCGTATGTAACCCGAGGTACCACTGTATTGCCCTCGGCTATACTCGAGGGACGATACCAACAGATTCCACATGAAAAACGCTCATGTCCCTGTGGAGATGGCAGTACCGAATTGGTGGCACATGCCCTTCTGGCTTGCACTCTTTATAAAGACTTGAAGAATGAGTTTATCACCCCTCTTTTATTGTTCATTCCGGGTCGTCCAACCACTGCCACAGTGTCCTTTCTCTTGGCAGATCACGATGAGCAGGTGACAGCAAAAGTTGCAAGGTTTTTAGCTGGGGCAATCAGAATAAGATCCACTATTTGACTATTGATCAAAACCCTAAAATGTATTTCATATAACTGACTTTTTATTTCTATTCTTTGTATATCGTATTGTTGTTTTATTGCTATGGCTGATGGCTGACGCAAGGCAGATTCCAATGTTATTTTAATTACACACAACTAGAACAGGAGACAAAGAGAGCCGTGGCCTGCTACTTTATGTTATAAACGAAGATGTCCACCAATAGATCAGATTTATCCGGGCACGTTATGGCACAGTAAATATGCTTTCTATGCAAGAAAACAGGACAGTTCAACCCTGGAATCCTACCTAAATGAAAAGTTGTCAAGCCCCTCGTTTTCAGAACAGGACCAGCTCATCCAACACTCTGTTTGGGAGAATTTGTGTCAAACCGACATTCCAATTTCAGCAGCGCACATAAAATTCTGCACATTTATTTAGCACCGTTAACAGATTTTTACATAACTCTCGAAGGGACTGACTCGATTCATTTCCCTCCCGAGCGAAAGACGGATTAATCCAAAACGAACTAAGACAGGCAACCAGAAATAATGTTACTACAGCCAGTACACATTTCCTAAACTGCTGTATCAGTAAGCTGCTTAAGAACCTCAGTACCACTGTACTCTACATCTGCTCGATAATTACTACCTCTCAAAGCGCAGATTATGAATAGGCACGCAGCACACCAGAACAACCCTACAGGGGACCAAGAAAGAGAGAACAAGCCCATGGAGTGGCTCTTTTTTCTTATCTCAAAATTCAAAACGGAGGTGTGAAGCAGATCTAAAGAGCCTAGTTAAGAGGAAACCTGGGTAGACCTGCCACCAGTGCAACAGTCATGGTTAAAACTTGATAATGCAAGGAAAGGTGGAGGCAAGGTATGTGTTTGTGTGTTTATATCGGTCTCCCAGTTCCTACAAAGTATTCTTCCTCTGCAAAGGATGCTTCCATTTTCTGCCGCAGGTGAGCTGGGATGTTTAAGGCTACCTTATTGCTGCATGGTGGCTGAGGGAGTTGGCACTGCGTTTCTTCCCATCGAACATTTACTGGGCTGGTCGCCTGCACTTCCTGGTGTGGAAAAGTCCCAGGGGTGTAATTACGTCATGATGTAATTCCCTTGGGCTATAACGAGAGGGAGAACCCCGGAAAGGGTGCAGGCCACTGCCAAGATCAGACTCTCCTCCACATGTCTGTATTTTCCAGGGACAGTCCTGGATTGACAGGAGCCATCTGACAGGAGTTTCTGATTTGATCCCGGAATGTCCCTTTTTTCTTAGGATGTCCCTATTTTCACCATAGAAATGTTGAAGGGTATGCAAGATGGCAATACACAAACTCTGCCCCCCACCCACAAGATTTTGGGTGTGGTTCTCTCATTGTGAGAAATGAGGTTACAGGCAGAGGACCTTCTCGGTAGTGGCACCTGCCCTGTGGAACGCCCTCCCATCAGATGTCAAGGAAATAAACAACTATCTGACTTTTAGAAGATATCTGAAGGCAGCCCTATTCAGGGGAAGTTTTTAATGTCTGGTGTTTTATCGCTTTTTAAATTATTATTAACATTAATTCTGTTGGGAGCTGCCCAGAGTGGCTGGGGAAACCCAGCCAGATGGGCGAGGTGGTGGTGGTGGTGGTTTTCACCAAAATCTTATCTCCCTTTTAAAAAAACAATCTTCAAAATAAAATTATTTTCTCGCCCTCTGATGGAAAGCGGCAAATGCAGGGGCAAACGCAGGGTAAAATTTTTGACGCAGTCAATAAGGAATAGGGTTCAGGAGGGTTAGGCAGCAGAAAGGATAGAGGTTTGGCGGTCCAGAAAAAACTTGAATAGATTTTAAGGCCGAGGCAGGTGGGGTACGGAAGAGATCAGCACTCAAAGCACCTCCAGCGCAGAATATTTCAAAGTTACTTGCATGCAAGATCTAAAAAGTTGATGCATTGATCTCTCTGAACTCTGGGAGTCAAAGGGATTTGCCTTCTGTGTGGCTAGCTAGGGAACAACTTCCAGGCAGGCCTTAGCGCTTCAGTCTTGTGCATACAAACATCCACCTGGCATTTGTGGCATCTGGATTTTGTTCTGTGCAGCCAGGCGTGTGTGCGTGTGTGTGCTTGGAGGAAAGAAGCCCGTACAAGGAAAACGCTCCCCCTAAGGATTTTCTATGCATTGGTTTATAGCATTAGCGCTTATCAGATTGCTTCGGTGCAAAAAGTCACGAGAAAATTAGTTTTGTTAGCAGCGCAAGGATTTTAGCAGGCTCTTCGGGGAGGCTCCCAGCAGCCTGTTCAGTTTTCGCAACGAAAAGGCACAACAACTGGGAAGTAACTCATTATGGATTACTATTCGGCTCCATAAATATGCCAATAACAGCTATATTAAGCACCTGTTTCAAGAAATCCTCTTATCTCACAGTTGCTGGATTTTGTTCCCTTAAAAAAAAAAATCAGAGAAAGTCAGTCCTACCAGCATCTTAACATATGCTGTTAGGTTGTGGGTGAACATATCGGACAACACAGCGATTCTTCAAACAGCTCTTGTTTATTCACAGGCCAGAACAGAACTGAACTGAAGGGTTCAGCCAGCCTGCTTATATGGAGCTCCACTAGAACACAACCATTTTTTGTAACTATCCAATCACTGAACGTCACTTTCGATCCCTTATTTGCATATGTGGACCTGAACTATCTACAGTATCCCCCTGCTGGCCCAGGGTGAGAACTTCATTACATAACATGGGCAACAGCACTGCTATCTCTTGCACAACCCAAGATTATTACTCAGTGGGAGTTATGCATGGAGAAGGTCCCACTTCCTATCTCCGGCAGTTCCAGCTAGGGCTGGGGAAAGTCTCTGTCTGAAACCTTGCAGAGCCCAACCTTGTAGCCTCTAACTGGCTCTGGCATGGCCATATCTGGAAGGCACCAAGTTGGGGTAGGATGGGACAGCCAACGTTTCTCAGCTTTGCACCCCCAGATATTGTCAGGACTATACTAATTCCCATCATCCCCAACCAGCTCGGCCAATGGTCTGGGATTATGGGAGCTGTAGCCCAACAAGGCTGAGCTCGATGGACCAATGGTCTGATTCGGTACAAGGCAGCTTCTTACAATTGCTTGGCCAGGACTGGGGAGACGCACAGCCACCAATACATACTAACTCTCCCACTTCTCATTGACTTAGGCTGCATCCACACAACTTTTTTTCCACCCATTTCCCTGATGTTTCCCTAACTCTTTAGATTTGAGCTTTCACGTGAAAAGTCACTTCGGGAAAACTTCGAGAATATAGTGGGTGTTTGGATGGTACTTAACTCCTGTAAAATTAGCAAAGATATATCATAACAGTGATAATCTATGCTGGAAATGTAAAGAAAAAGAGGGTACCTTTTATCATATGTGGTGGACCTGCCCCAAGGTGAAAGACTTCTGGGAGAAGATTTATAATGAATTGAAAAAATGTTGAAATATACATTTATTAAGAAACCAGAGGCCTTTCTTCTTGGAATAACAGGTTTGGAATTGCCAAAAAAAGATGTTAGATTGTTTTTGTATGCGACAACTGCAGCTAGAATTTTATTGGCTAAGAATTGGAAAACACAAGAAGTGCCAACAGTGGAGGAATGGCAGAAGGAGATGATGGACTTTTCGGAGCTAGCCGACCTGACCGGAAGAGTCCACGACCAGAAGGAGGAGGAGTACCAGGAGGAATGGATGAAATTCAAAGACTATTTAGTTAAATATGCTAAGATAGTTTATATAGAAATACTTGCAAATAATAGATAGGCTTAGGATTTAAATATGTGATGTTATAGAATAATATGTTTAAAGTAAAGATGAAAAGAAAGAAAGATGTTAAGTGATTAAGTAAATTTTATGAGAAACTTGTTTTGGAAAACTGTTACAATGATATTTACTGAAAATCAGCCAGGGGGATTTGAGGAAGTCACTTAACATTGTTACTAAGAGTACAGTTAGGATTTATGTTTGTTTGTGTGTTTATAAATTTTGGAAAATCAATAAAAAAAATTGGGGGGGGAGAGAAGAATATAGTGGGTTTTTGGTGCTCGTTTCTGTGTTACACGATTCCAGCAAAAACATCTGGTTGCAACCCCCTTAGCTTTGAGAATCACAGGAGTAAAGTGATGAAATCTGGGGCATGTACCTCTCTCCTGCCATTCCCATGGGGGGACCCTAGGGGAACAGAAGCATGCATGTGCGGAAATGGTAGCTTGGGTAGCAATGTTGTCCAATGATGCCCGTTGCTGCGTTAACACCACCCAACCCTCCAAGTGCCCCTATTTTCCAGAACAGTCCCGGATTTACAGAAGCCGTCCCGGTTTCTGATTTGAACCCAGAATGTCCCGATTTTCCTTAGGATGTCCCGATTTTCATGGGGGAAATGTTGGAGGGTATGGACCACACTCACTGGTGTGAATGGAATTTGGCGTGACGTGCCGGTATGTCGGTCATAAAGTCACAGTTCCGTAACACGTAAGGGACTGCAGTATGAAAGGAATGTTAGAAAACAGGACAGATGCACTAGCAGAAAAACTGGATAATATTATAATTTTAGAATACCTAACTGTGAAGATATATAGAATGAAAGGGTTTAAGGTCAGTGAGAAAGAGGAGGATTGGTTTGAGAAGATAATGAATTATTTGGGTAGGTTTGAACAATTTGGGGCAATTAAAATGTTAAAAGTTAAATAAACCTTGTGGAGGGAGGAGTGTTAAGGTATATAGAAGTGTGTATACTATATGTATACTATTGAATATGTATACCCAATGTATCAGCTGCCTGGGGGGTTTCACTGTTTGTGTTTTGGTGGTTGGTAAAAAAAATAAAATATTGTTTTTTTTAAAAAAGCATTATAATCCGGAAAGCTAATGCAATATTCACCACGTCTGCATGGACCCTTATTCACACATGGTTCTCCTGCCTTCAGAATCCCAAAAGGTCACCAAAAGCACAGCAGAAAAATCCGTTTGTGCATATTATCCATCATTTTGCACTCCTAAATCTTGCACCTGGGCAACTTACCTATGAAAGTGCTCCTCTTGACAGGTATAGGAGTCATTGTTTGCTTGATTTCTCCAACCTATGCCTGTGATAATGAGGCCACATTATTTGCATTCCTGGCTTGCTTGTTCTGCTTATTATTTTTTTAAAAAAACCTGCATATCTAATTTAACTGCAGGACCAAAACTATCTAGGAACTCGGAATAAAGCCGAAAACTCTGAATTCTTTGTTATCTTCCGCCACGCAAGCAAGACATCACTATGGTATCAAGGCCCAGCATGGAAATCTCACGGCGTTATCTGATCAAACAAATACAAAATTCTTTCAAAAGGTTCGGCTGCCAGAGCCTTGGAAGAAAGGCGGGCGCAACAGCAGCTCCCTTTTGCTTAAAAGGAGCTCTCTTTGTTTAAATACAGCATATGCCCTGGAGCATTATCTTCACATCCCGAAGGCTCGAGGTTATTTTGGGACGCTGCGACTGATGGAATAATTACATTACTACAGGGTTTTAAGTTATAATGTCTACATGCTTTAAATATCTCCCTGTTGCTGCTTGGCGATAAACTGCACAACGCATCCTGCAGGAGCCAACCACAACGAGCGGTAGAGCAATATTTATGAGTTTGTTTCAAAGGTTCCCGGATTTCATGCAGCATGTTCAAAGATCTGACGCCTACTTGAAGCAATGCATTAAAAAGAAAAACTCCCCATAAAGCATTCCCCTCACACACAAAGAGGGAAGCTTTCATTAAAATAAGAATCCGGAAATTTTTATATATATATATATATATATATATATATATATATATATATATATACACACACACACACACACACACACACACACACACACAACTGTCACTCAAGAGTACCATCCTTTAACATCTTGCTCCAGATAGAGAGATGGTTCTTCTAACTGTTCCAACTCTGAACATTGCGGACTTGATAAGACCAGAACCATCTCCCAAGCATAAATTCTGATGGCTGTGACCCAAAAATGGAGAATAGCCCCGCTGCTTGCTTTGGACACTGAAACTTGCTGGTGGTGTTTTTAGCTCCACAATTCAGATATGGGAATCCAAATCCAGCTCAAAAACACATTTATGTACAGTCATACCTCGGGTTGAAGTAGCTTCGGGTTGAGCGTTTCCGGGTTGCGCCCCGCTGCAACCCGGAAGTAACAGAGCGCGTTACTTCTGGGTTTAGCTGCGCACGCATGCGCAGACGCTCAAAATGACGTCACGCGCATGCACGGAAGCGGTGAATCGCAACGTACGGACGTGGGTTATGTTCGCTTCAGGATGCGAATGGGGCTCCAAAACGGATCCCGTTCGCATCCAGAGGTACCACTGTACTAGGAAAGGGACACAGAGGGTTAAAAATGTTGCAAGCCAAGCATGCAATCCCAATGCACGCCTACCTTACCGAAGTTTCATCACGGCCTTAATTTGGCCGATGGGTCAGAGATTCCCCCACCTCTTTCTTTCTAAATTAAAAAGGCCCAAATACTTTAGGGTTACATTATTATTATTATTATTATTATTATTATTATTATTATTTTAAGGTGTCCCAACCCCCTGAACATTTTGATCACCTTTTTTAACCTCAAGATATCCTTTTTCAGATGGGATGACCACAAAGTTCCAAAACTCTAAGTCCTGTACTAAACTGTGCGGCCACGTTTTTGGAATAATGTTACATACACATTTAACGAAGTGTACTCATACACTTTTCTGTACAACTGTTACAAGACCATCTTTTTTAAATTTTCCACCCCTTTCCAAACATTTGCCCCATCGCATGTTTCTTTTTTTTTTTTAAATAATATTTAATAATTTTCCAAACGTTTAAACACAACAAAATAAAAAAAAAGAAAAAGAAAAAAGACATAACACTAACAAAACAAGACACAAACCATTTAAAACACAAAACAATTTCAATATCTTATCTTTCATTCCCTTATTTCCACGACCTCCTCACACCTCCCTTTTTGTATTCCACTTCTGTTGTTTCAGCAATTCCTTTCCATCTTCCTCTGTTTTCTATCCTATAATTATCTTAACATATTCTAACCTTATTTTTCCCTTGAAAACTCTATTAATCTATTTATACTTAATTCCTTATAACATTTCTACTAAAGCCATATAACTTCATTCCAACATTTTTCTAACATTCATTATTTTAATAATATTTCTATAAATAGTCTTAAACTTTTCCCACTCTTCTTCCACCGACTCTTCTCCCTGGTCTCGGATTTCTGCCAGTCGTTTCCGCCAATTCCATATAGTCCATCAACTTCATCTGCCATTCTTCCCGAATAGATAAATCTTGTGTCTTCCAGTACTTCACAATAAGTATTCTTGCTGCTATTGTTGCATACATGAAAAAAGTTCTATCCTTCTTTAACACCAATTGGCCGACCATGCCCAGGAGAAAGGCCTCTGGTTTCTTCAAAAGGGTATATTTAAGTACCTTTTTCATCGCGTTATGAATCATCTCCCAAAGTGTCTTAATCCTTGGGCATGTCCACCAAAGGTGAACTCTAATCCTCTAATTCGTCTGTTTTTCTTTAAGTTCAGTCATAGCAAGCGTTTCTTTGCCCTCAAGCTCTTGAACCTAGTTGCTGATGTTGGGTTGTTGCCCATTTGCAGAAGATATAGGACTTTAAAAAAAATAAATTTAAAACCCGAAAATTTGTAACTTTTCTAACATCTCAGTGCCTAACTATTACAGTTTTATGAAGTAATGGAAGATACATTCTTGGTCGAAAGAAAAAATATACACATTTTAATGTGTTTATTTAAAGTATTTATATACTGCGTTTCACAGGCGGAAGGCAGTTTACATAAAGTACCGTAAAGTCATATAGCTCAGTCAAATGCACTGCAGGGTTCTGTGAATTCAGCAGCCAGAAAACACAGCAATTCAGAGCAACTTCCCATCAAGTCTAAAAGACATGGGTCTGCAACTATGTGAGGACCATAATTGAATCTAATCCTGATATAAGAATCAGCAAAGCATCTGGTGTCCAGCCCAGGGTGTTGTGATCAACCACTTTTTTTAAAAGAAAAAAGTAAAAAACCCAAACCAAACCAAACCCGAAAGCTTCTGATCTTCAGCTCCCTTTGAAAGCTATTCTCAGAACCTCAGGGGAACAAACCAGACAGGAACAAAAAGAAAATCTGCCACCGACAAGACATTTCTGGAATGAATTGGCCTTTGATAGGTTCTTCTCGAGACAGTGATCCAAGGCTGACTCACAAATGAAAACACAGGAACACAGCACTGCGAGGATGGAAAACTCATTCGAGAGAGACAAATTGGTTTGTTCACACGGCGGTGTAAAGGGAACATTCACACTGGTGGGCCTTTGTACTGGAGAACTATGGAATTCGAATCCCAACATGGCGGCTCCATTTATAATAGGATCCTCTAGGAATTCATATACTACTAGCTGTGTTTGTCTGGAAATGATGGGAGTTGTAGTTCAGCAACATCTGGAGGGCATCATGTTGTCTGTTTCCACTGACCCAGTGCATTAAAGGCTAATGGGAACATCAACCAGAAATCTCCCATAAAAGGATTGTTGCAAACATTAATATCAACTGTCTTCAGCTTTGTAGAGGAGACGTGCTGTAATCCTATGTCCATCTTTCCCCCTCTTTCTCTCCCCTTTCTCCTTCTCTTGCCTAAGTTCCCACCCCCTTTAAAACGAATGATGGTGGAGCTGCTATTACACAAAAGTCTGGCGCACAGTCTGCTTGTGGGACCCAAGCAATCAGTGGGAGATTTTAAATGCACAAATGGATCTAAACAGGAGGAAACCAAATGCAGCGTTTATTTATTTTTAAGTGAATAAACGCTGCATTTGGTTTCCTCCTGTTTAGATCCATTTGTGCATTTAAAAAAGCTAATAAAAACTGATAAAAATAATAAAAACAGCATCAACTGATGCAGAGCTCAAGTCGACGCTACTACTAACGACGACGCCATCTTGGGACCCAGGGCTGAACTGATACTACCCTTGCTGGTGCTTTTCCCAGGAAAATCAGACGCTCACTATGTCAGGTTCCTACTGGAAGACCGGACAAAAGTTAGAACGTTGGCAGTGGCAAAGTTTTTATCGGTGGTTGCAAGAACAAATGAGCCCTATATTCTAAACAAAGTGCTTGATTAACCTGGAGGTAGGCTGTATGAACTCTGTATTGATTTGTAATGTTTTGTTGGGTCTCTGGACCGTAATAAAGATTGTTGTTGTTGTTGTATTTTTAAGTGAGAGAAGGAAACAGCCGGATCCCGTGCACGTTTACTCAGAAATAAGCCCCACTGAGTTCCATGGGACTTGTCGCCAAAGTAGCATGCATGGGATTGCAGCAAAAAAAGCTTTTCCTTCCGCACTTCTCTTTAGCGGTAGTAAATTACTACCTCCCAACCAATTCATACCATCAGCTGCAGCCCTGAGCAAGTGCGAGTCATTAAACATTATTTTCATTCTGAATTAGTAGCGAACACTGACACTGTAAAATATAGGATGCTTGCCCCCTTTTCCATTACCCTTTGGAAAGAAGCTTTTCAAGCATGAGAGCCAATCTCTAAATGAAGACGGAATATGCACGTAAACACAGACCAAAATACTTTAGAATTCCAGAATGCCATAAGATAAACAAATATGCAGAGCAGGTTTTTACAACCTCCATCAGCTAGGATTTTAAGTGATGAACTGCAGGGATTTGCAGACTTTTTTTTTGTTTTTAGGAATTAAAGGAATGCAACTGTCAGTAAGATATCTCTCTGATGTCTCCCAGTACAGACTGACCTGCAAAGAGGCCAGGGTGACAGCTTCCTATAGAAAGGGGAAAGCCTTCTACCATGGCCTTAGGGCAAGTTGGAGGCAGAACAAATAGAATGGCTTTGAAGAAATGCAGTGGCAAAAGGTATGTATTTCAGTGGGTAAACAGCCCTTGCTTACAGAATTGTCAGTCAACATTTGACAAGGTGGCTTGACCTATATACAGGACAAAATCCCAGGGAAACCAACCAACCAATCAGCCAAGCAGTGTGTCTCCTTCATATCCTTCGCTGTTTCGGCTAAAACTATTTCATAGAATGCCAAATGGATTATCTTAGCGCAGAGGCTTCCTTCATTTGGGACACTACTGTCGCTATCAGATCACCCACAATGATTATTAAATCTGGTATAGCAGAGAGCTAACTAATGAACATTAAAACAGTGCAGGAAACTAGTATGAAGGATCTAGGCCCGGAGTGGCCATCCAGATTTTGCCAGATTGCATCTTCCATTAGAGAGTGGTCTACATGGTTCTCTCCATCTCCACAACCCAATGGGATAGGTTAAGCTGAGAGTGTGTGTGGCTGCCCTAAGGCCACCTAAACTACACCAGAGGCAGCCAACATGGCTCCCTCTAAATGTTTGGAACTGGACCATAAGCATAGCTAATGGTCAAGGACAATGGGACTTGAAGTCCAGCAACATCTGGATGGCATCTTGTTGGCCATCCCTGCACTGAAGCAATAAAGTATACAGTGTAAAGGGACCCCTGACCATTAGGTCCAGTCGTGGCCGACTCTGGGGTTGTGGCTCTCATCTCGCTTTATTGGCTGAGGGAGCCGGCATACAGCTTTCGGGTCATGTGGCCAGTATGACTAAGCCGCTTCTGGCGAACCAGAGCAGCGCACAGAAACGCCGTTTACCTTCCCGCCGGAGTGGTACCTATTTAGCTACCTGCACTTTGACGTCATTTCGAACTGCTAGGTTGGCAGAAGCAGGGACCGAGCAACGGGAGCTCACCCCGTTGCAGGGATTCAAACCACCGACCTTCTAATCGGCAAGTCCTAGGCTCTGTGGTTTAACCCACAGTGCCACCCGCATCCCATACAGCGGTACCTCAGGTTAAGAACTTAATTTGTTCCAGAAGTCCGTTCTTAACCTGAAACTGTACTTAACTTGAAGCACCACTTTTGCTAATGGGGCCTCCCGGTGCTGCCGCGCCGCCGGAGCACAATTTCTGTTCTCATCCTGAAGCAAAGTTCTTAACCTGAGGTACTATTTCTGGGTTAGCAGAGTCGGTAACCTGAAGCGTTTGTTACCTGAAGCCTATGTAACCTGAGGTACCACTGTATTTTCCATTCTCAGATAGCATGCAAACAGTGACACGGTGTGGAACTTTTTCCAAATATTTCTTTATTTATTATGGAAGTTCTTTTGCCAGTGGTTTCTTTTTCTGATGAAAATTTTCTATTTCATCCGTTCTTCAGCAACAATGAATGGATGCCAGTATTAGGCAAACTTGGCAGTTTCCATGTTTTTAGCATTGCTTCCTAAATACAAGTAAACCAAATGTGCTAAATCAAATCATTCCATAGGGCGGGCATGGGGAATATTCAGGCCATCAACAACATTCGACCCACAAGGCCATTTTCCTAATGATGTCATAGAAACGAAGGATGTTCTTACAACATTGGGCAGATTAAGGCACAGCTGGAAAGAATAATCAAGAAGCTTAATGGTGCGCTCCCAGTTCTTCCTTCGCAAGTGGGGCTCGCTTTCAAAACCTCTTAAATTTAGCACCAAATGGAGGCTGGTTCCACCCAAGATGGGACTGGTTCCACCCAAGATCTTTCAAATAGAGCCTCAAGTGAAGCTCTGAATCTAAATACAGTGGTGCCTCGCAAGACGAAAAGAATCCGTTCCGCGAGTCTCTTCGTCTTGCGGGTTTTTTCGTCTTGCAAAGCAAGCCCATTAGCGGTTTAGCGGATTAGCGCTACAGTATTAGCGGCTTAGGGGATCAGCTGATAAGCGGCTTAGCGATCAGCTGTTAAGCGGCTTAAGGATCAGCTGATAAGCGGCTTAACGATCAGCTGTTAAGCGGCTGTTAAGCGGCTTAGCGATCAGCTGATAAGAGGTTTAGCGGCTTGGGAAAAAGGGGGGGGGGGCAGGAAAAAAACCCCGCAGGAACTCGCAAGACATTTTCGTCTTGCGAAGCAAGCACATAGGAAATTCATTTTGCGAAGCACCTCCAAAACGGAAAACCCTTTCGTCTAGCGGGTTTTCCGTCTTGCGAGGCATTCGTCTTGCGGGGCACCACTGTACAAGGCCTGCTGCATTCTCAAAGGCACAAATTCAGTCAACTGTCAATAGTAGTCCACTGAGCTGTGACCAGTTTTGGATCTTGCCCGCTGACCCCAAGTGGGTTCCCTACTTCTGCTGCGCAGCATCAGAACATTTCCCGATGCAAACTGAAAATGTTCCCATGCAAATTGCCCTATGAAAGGAGATACAGTGACAAAGATCTCCACTAATTCAGATTCTCCATACTAAGCTACACAGTCAGCAACCAACCCCAAACTAAGTACCTTAAGGTGCTTTCAGCGAATGTCTGGTTAAAATACTGCAGTCATTACAACAAAAACAAACGAACACAGATGGCATTTATTTTACCTACTGCCAAAAGAATTTAAATGCAGCATCACATATGGCAACCAAAAAGAGGAGTAGTATTTTGATGGAGACCAGAAGATCACTACACAAGCCAAAGCAAGGTTTCTTAACAGCCCACTAAAGCATTTGTTCATATTTTAAGGTACAGCTTTACGGATTGTTACCACTTCGTAGATAAGGGGTGGGGAGGTTGTGGTCTTCCAGATATTGCTGGACTCCACCTTTGGGCCCAAACTAACAGAACAAATTTCAATAGACACAAATATAAGACCGGAAGAGCCAGCTGCACAAATGTGTGCTTTTATTTAAAATGCATCTCTGGGTTATTTGTGGGGCATAGGAATCCATTCATCCCCCCCAAAAAAATAATAATATAGTCCGGCCCACCACAAGGTCTGAGGGACAGTGGACCGGCCCACGGCAGAAAAAGGTTGCTGACCCCTGACCCAAACCAATGGCTTCAGAGATTCCTACTAAGCATCAGGAATAACTTTCTGATGGATAAGAGCTATTCAACAGTGGAACGGACTCCCTCAGGAGGTAGTGGGCTCTCGTTCACCGGACATTTTAAAGCAAAGGTTGGATGGCCATCTGTCATGGATGCTTTAGCTGAGATTCCTGCATTGCAGGGGGGTTGGATTAGGTGACCCTCTGTGTCCCTTCCAACTCTACAACTCTATGATTCTATGATCATCCCTGACCATTGGCCAGGATGGCTGGGGCTGATGGAAGCTGAAATCCGGCAACATCTGGAGAGTCACAGATTCCCAGCTGCTGAGCTTGATAGTCTCCCTTTTGAGAGATGTGTCCTCCTAGGAAACAGTCATAAGAACCAAGAAGGCCAAATGCTTATCGTGGTCTAACATTTCATTCCCACCGTGGCCAAGCATATTTTTTTAAACACCTATGTATGCATGCAACCAATACCTTCGGAGCAAGTTATTTCTAGTTCGCTTTAACCTACCTCACCGTTTGGGGGAGTGGGGAAGAAATGAGAGGATATACCTCCAGGCCTCTTGGAGGCCTTGAGTCAAGGACACAAAGAAAGCAAAACAAATACAATCTAAATAAATAAAGTGTTTATGTCTGTAGCAGCAAGACAGTCAATGCAGCGGAATCTTAAAGAGACCAAAGCCTGGTTTATAGGATCATTTGGGAGGCCCGTCAAATCAGTAGTGACCTTCCCTTGCCGTTCTTCTCGGGCAATGAAGGCGCTTCCACTGGAGGAACCACCGATGAACGTGCTTCATCTGTAGGAACCACTACTGCAAAAACAGTAACTCCCAGAAAACTCCAGAAATGGAAATTCAGGGGCACAGCCAATCCTTTTTTCCCGTGGTGAGACCAGCCATCCTGAGCAAATTTTCACAAGAAACTGGGAAGGGTGAACGAGGGCATTGCTCTCTCATCTTGGTGTTCTGCTAGGATTTTTTTTTTTTTAATAAAGTAACCACAATACAGTGATACCTCGGGTTAAGTACTTAATTCATTCCGGAGGTCCGTTCTTAACCTGAAACTGTTCTTAACCTGAAGCACTACTTTAGCTAATGGGGCCTCCTGCTGCGCCGCCGGAGCACGATTTTTGTTCTCATCCTGAAGCAAAGTTCTTAACCTGAAGCACTATTTCTGGGTTAGCGGAGTATGTAACCTGAAGCGTATGTAACCTGAAGCGTATGTAACCCGAGGTACCACTGTATAAGGGGGATGGCCATAGCTTAGCAGTGGAGAATCCGCCTTTCATTGCAGAACATCCCAATTTCTGGCATCTCCAATGTAGAGCTAGGATAGAACTTTGCCTGAAACCCTGGGGAGTTGCTTCCAGTCTGTGTAGGCAATACTGAGCAGGGTGGACCAGTGGTCCGACTCAGTGTAAAGCAGCTTCCTGTTATTCCTGTGGAATGTGTGTTGATGAAATGAGCGACGTGTCCAAGTGCAACACGTGCAAAGCAACAGCTTGTGCCTCTTTTATTCGCATAAACCTTCCTGTAGGTGAAAGGAATAGGAGTCACAGGTTGACTCTGCCTCCCATCTTTTCAGCAGAGCCTGCTGGATCAAATCATTGGCCCATCTAGTCCAGCATCCTCTTATCAGAGAGGCCAACCAAACGGCTACAGGAAACCCACAAGCAGAACATGAGCACAAGGGCACTCTGCACACCTGCAGTTCCCAAGGGAAGGTAGAACAGATCCATGGGAATGTGTTCCATCTTCTCAGCAGCGCTTTTCCATCTGGAAAACAAGATCCACTGAGTTTTCTTTGCCAGACTAGGAAGGCAGGTGGTTCTCCTCCATGGCTGTGTGCAAAAAACAACACACAAACTTTCATTGTACCCCCTAGTTTGTGTGTCTTATCCCTCCACCAGCTTCCTTCAGTTATTGCTATGTTTGGCTGATCCTCAAGAGGTATGACTCTGTGTATCGGAATGCCTGTGTTCCTATCCATACCTGAAGCCATCAAAATAAGGAGTTGAGCTTCGTCTGCATTTTCTTTTCCATTTCATCAACCTTAATTAATGGCAGCCAATGCACACAAGATGTCTGATGTGGAGGAAAGGAGGGGGTGGGAACCCCTCCTTTTGGCCTGAAAAAGTCCTTCCTCAATTAGATTTGCAAGCAGTTAGCTTTGAGGGTAAAGAGTCGGTCATTAGAGGTCTAACAAATTAAGACCGGGACAACCAGTAATCTTTAAATACAGGCTTTAATGATTTCAACAAATCACTGCAGGCAGCATCATTTTCAGGAGTGCCAGGAGAGACTTTGGATAATGTTTTTCCAATGACCCAACAGAAGAAGAGACTAACAATGGAGGTTGGCTGTGCAGACTGGAGAGACGACATCATTTGGTGTGTCCTATTCAGACCTCTTAGATCTACGAAGGTCACCTGCCTGATTTAATTGCAAATTTGCTCTACCTTTGGACAGCAATTGGAATGTGAATATAAGTGTTCTCTATGGTCCACCTACAATTATGAGTGAAGTCCCACTGAATTCAATGGAAACTACTCTCAGGCAAGCAGGCATAGGAGCCCCAGTTTTCTACTAGAAAATGGGTGCTTTCCAGGAACACTGAAATTGCTGCTTATTGGTGTGGAGGGTGAAACTTTTAATGATCTGGGATGCTATCTCATTTTAAAGTTCTTGTACAACGTGCATCACTTCTGATGGTAACCGTCAGCAGTAGATATGCGATAACATAACGCAAGATAAAAAGACACAGAGAAATCTTGTTCCTTCCAAACACAAGGAAGGATTTCCATGACACTTCCAGTTCCTAAATACCTGTCCTATGCTTGCCCTAGAGGCCTGTAGTTACCCTCCAGAGCCAGAAATAAACAGAGAGGTACATCAACCCCAAATTCCCTGCATTCTGCTTGTCCAGAACTCAAAACAATGGTTTGAATTCCTGCATCCATATGAAGGATGCATATTTAAACATAATACCTCATGATTATGGTCTCAAAACATTTCATATGAACTGCAGTGGTCTAAAACAACACTTAACGCAATTCGGAGGATGTAACTCAATAGATGCACTCCTGCCTATCCGAAAATCCATTCAGCGCAGGCCAATATTCAAATAAGCAAAGTAAAGAGCACGGAATTGTTTTTCCTCCTCCCAAAAGGCTCCCCCGATGGCTTTGAGAAAAGATGGAAAGCGTGCCAGGCAAGCGTCAACCCAGAGCAGTAGGGGGAAGCGCAATGTCTTTCTCCTCTCAATAATTCTTCAGAAATTCCAGCTCGGATCGAAGGTTTCAAAATTACCAAGCCATGTCCACAGACCATGAAAATTTATCAAGTATGTCTTATGTGACAAGAAAAGAATGCCTCACTGCCAAAATTAGATGGGCTTCAAAAGTTACTGACAATCACTGCCATACATCAGGCGAACAAACCATCATCTTTTGACACAAAAGGTGTTTCAAAAGACTGATATTTTCACGCCAGGAAACAAAAAGTTTGTATACCGGGAGAACTTCGGGATTATACCTAAAGTCACTTGCATGCCAAAACATTTCAGAGGGCTGAACGATTGCTCTGTTTCTGTGGCTGCAATCATAGGCAAAGATTTATACATGAAACAGATGGGACTGTTCAACCAATTTCCATATAATCAAGTCTGGGCTAAACATCCACACTACTGCATCAGAGCAAAACGTCACAGTCGTCATAGGTAGACGGGGCATTTAACAAAATTTAATGAACGAAGGAATTAGTTCAGTAAATTATGGAATCTTTTAAAAAAATAAATCCGTTTATTTCTTATTTATTTAGAGTATTTGTGTCCTGCTTTGCAGGGAGACCATCCAAAGCTGTTTGCATGAGATTATTGTATCAACAAGCATCATTTTAAAAAAAAAAGTTAAATGTACAAAAGAATTGAAAAGACTAGTTTATTTGTTTCAAAAAGGATGTTACTGCTTCTCCTCACAGATGTCCCTGTGGTGAAGTTGGGGGGCACTATGGCAGCTGGATGGTTATGATTCCTCAAATATCTTACGGGGAAAAGTGTGAAAATTAGTAGTAGAAAATCAACATCAGTCTAAAATGTTGGCATAGGAGAGATAACATGAGGTGCAATCCCAATTTGCTTCTAACATTAAACCAAACCATGGTTAAGGCTGGACAAGCAAATCTGTGGGCTTCTGGAGAGGAGGCTGAAACCACTTCCCATTTTTTCTGTTGCTTAGCCATGGTTTGGCTTAGTGTATCATCCAAAACTTGTCTCCAGACAAATCACGAGCTGTAAGAGATAGGACAAACTATGGCTTTTTTCCAGAGACTTGCCAAGCCACAAAACTGGGTTCAGATGAAACCCTAAACCAAACCATGGTTTAGCTCAGCACAGCACCAGAGTGGTTAGAAGGAAGTAGCAGAGCAGCTGCGATCTCCTCTCAGAAATGTACACATTTGGATCCTTTGGGTTAGTGTTATGTGTGAGTGAGGTCATTGCATAAGAGAGAGAGAGAGAGAGAGAGAGAGAGAGAGAGAGAAGAATAGGAGGACACAACAGGCAAAAGGAAGTTCCAAGAATGCACAGAAGCAAAGTTGGCTGCTACTCAGGTCCAAATCATTTACCTATGGATAAAATCTGCCTGTACTGTAGAAAGTTTTTAAAGGTAATAAAGGCTTAACTGGGGTAGGTTAACTGGGATAGCTCAAGTGTAGAGCATGAGACTCTTAATCTAAAGGTTCTGGGTTCGAGCCCCACATTGGGCAAAATATTCCTGCATTCCAGGGGGCTAGATTAGATTACAATTCTATGAGAACATGCAGTAGATTTCAGAGTTAGCTCAAGAGCAGGTGGCAAGCATTGCAAATGATGGCCAGGTGTGAATTATTGGAAGGTTTAGCCCACAAACTCAACAAAGGTACTAACTGCCGACTGTCAACAGCACAGTTTGAACATGGAAAATTCCCCAATAAATCCAGCATGGTGTAGTGGTCAAGAGCGGTGGACTCATAATCTGGTGAATTGGGTTTGATTCCCCACTCCTCCACATGCAGCTGCTAGGTGACCTTGGGCTAGCCACACTTCTCTGAAGTCTCTCAGCCCCACGCACCTCACAGAGTGTTTGTTGTGGGGGAGGAAGGGAAAGGAGAATGTTAGCTGCTTGGAGACTCCTTAAGGGGAATGAAAGGCGGGATATCAAGTCCAAACTCTCCTCCTCCTCCTTCTTCACAGTCCTGTATGGTAAGCCAGCATTATGTTTATACCTCTGACAAGACGTGAGTTGGAGGCTGAGAGGAGCCGACCCAAAGAAGAAGAAGAAGAAGAAGAAGAGGAGTTTGGATTTGATATCCCGCCTTTCACTCCCTTTAAGGAGTCTCAAAGCGGCTAACATTCTCCTTTCCCAAACTTTGCACAAAGTTCGCAAAGGAACTAATATCTTGAACAGGAGTAGTTTATATAGGCCATACTCTTAACCACGCAGCTCTAACGCATTCTACCACCACCAAAGCAAACCAACGTTTGCACATTTCTTCTGATGCATAACGAAATATTTGCTTCTTATGGTACGGTGCTCCCCCCCTAGAAATTCTGTTAAGATGAAGTACAATCCAGTCATTCACATGAAAATCCAGCACAGGTACACTCAAAAGAAAAGGAGGGGGGAGGATGGGAGGAGAAGCCTTATCTGAAACAAGACACCACATTTTCCGATCAGCAAGGTTAACCAAGAGGCAACACAACTGAACGGGCGTAATTTCTCAGCCGTTTATGACACACTTGCGTTCCATTTTAATCTAAATCTTGCCTTACCAGGACAAGAAACAAGCAAACAATTTTCTGTTCCACACAGTAAATTGCAGGCTGCCGTACAAGTGGATTGTAAATTCCATATGCATCAAGCTGCTAAGCCTCGCAGCTGCTTACTCCTTCTGGGTTTTTTTAAAAAATGTGGACTAAAAATGTCTTTACTTTCTTCATTTGGCTGCCCCACACCCCACAAAAACCCACAATGGTATAAATACAAACTTTGACCAGATAGACAGAAGGAACTTTGATAATGAGGATGTTCTGATTTGGGTGTGATGCTAAACCATAGTTTAATGAATGAGCATGGATGTGCCTTTTGAGATCATGCCCTCTCTGAAGTTGGTATTTATGGGTCAAAACTGATTTACTGAAAATAACCCAAAACCAAGCTGTGGTTTCTTTTCCTGGTTTGCTCCAGTGAACCCTAGCTTGAACTAACCATAGTTTCTGAACTAATGTAAAGGTAAACTGTGGTTAATTTAAACCAGAATGCTTCCAATTTCCTCCTTGTAGGTTGTGCCAGAGAAGCAGAACAGATGGGGAAGCACCTTGAGGCTCACGCCCAGATTTCATCCACTAAACTATGGTTCAGCATTACAAACCAGGTCACTATGTGTCATTTCCAAATGCTAATTGCATACTTTCCAAAGCTTTCGTGCAACTTTTAAAGCACAATTTGTGTTTGAAATTGTGCCAGAAAAGGCAAAAAGAGAGAGATGAAAGAATGTAGGGGGAAAACAAAGGCAATATTTGACCTTTGAAACCTATTGCCTTGTTACCAAAAGAAGACTACACCGTTTTGTTTTAAAAACAATTTTTTCTGTAACATTTCACACAAACCATGAGACCTAATTAGCAAGCTATACAAACCTCAAGGAAAAAACAAACAAACATTCCAGCTTCCTTGCAGGCTGTCTAACTGTTCAGTGGTCTCTAGGAGACATGCAGACATACCTTAAAACATGCTGCAGACACCCTGGAATGTGCTTTGCCTTGAAAACGCCAAATAATTAGATTCTCTTCCTCGCTGTCTCAAGCATGTATAATGCCCGGCAACCTCAACTGTGCTACCGAAGCAGCTGAGGCGCTGCTTCTACCAAAGAGGGTGTTTTGAAGGACCCACCACCCTTATAAAACACTTCCTTTAGGTGATGTAAAAAAGAATCTGATGGTGTTTTGAATGTATGGAGTGAATGTGGCCTACAATACCACTTTAAAGAGTCATGGTTCCCCCCGCAAAGAATCCTGGGAGTTGTAGTTTGTTAAGGGTGCTGAGAGTTGTTAGGAGATGCCTAGTCCCCTCATGGAGCTACCATTTTCAGAGTGGTTTAACAGTCAATCCCTCTTGACAGAGAACTCTGGGATGTGTGAGGGGAATAGGGGCCTCCAAACAATTATCGGCGCCCTTAACAAAATACAGTTCCCAGAATTATCCACGGGAGGCCATGGCGGTTCAATGTGGCATCGTAGTGCTTCAAATGCATGCTCTACGCAGAAGCAAGCTCTCCTGAATTCAACAAGGCTTGTTCCCAGCTAAATGGGGTTACGACTGCCACCTTAGGTGTTGATCTATGAACCCAAGAAGTAATCAACTCTTATTTACAAGGCATAGAGTAAGCAACTTCTACAGCAGCCCCTGAGATTCCTGAAAAGGTTCAACCATCTTTTAAATACAGTGGTACCTTGGTTGTCAAACGCCTTGGTACTCAAACAACTTGGAACCCAAACACTGCAAACCCGGAAGTAAGTGTTCCAGTTTGCAAACTTTTTTTGGAAACCGAATGTGCTCCGATTTGCGTGCCACACTTCCATTTTGAGTGTTATGCTGAGGTCTGTCTGTTTTTGCTATTTATTTTGCATTTTTGTTTCTGTGGCTTTTTGTTTTGCTTTTGTGACTGTGTGGAACCCAGTTCAGCTACTGATTGATTGACTGACTGATTGATGTGTGACTGCAGTACATTGTTTATTGTTTTCATTTTATGGAAGAATGGTCTCGTTAGATAGTAAAATTCATGTTAAAATTGCTGTTTTAGGGGCTATTTTTAAAAGTCTGGAACGTTTTAAAAGTCTGGACTAATCCATTTTGCATGACTTTCTATGGGAAAGTGCGCCTTGGTTTTGGAACGCTTTGGTTTTGGAACGGACTTCCGGAACGGATTAAGTTTGAGAACCAAGGTACCACTGTATCGGGATATATGCCATTTCTTAAAACTAGGGCTTAACTGGGATATTGCAAAATTCAACTCTTTGAAGAAGAAAGAGGGAGGGCTGGGAAACTCCCTGCCCAAATCATGAATATACAACAGCTTTCTTATTCACGGAAAATAAAAGCTACGCCAAGATTTTCCCACTCACCCCCAGCCCGCTTTTAGGAGGCCCAAATGATTTAAGAAACCAGAATATGTCATAATTACAGAAAGTTTCCAAGAACTAATAACTTCCATGGAAAGAGTTTTGTGCTACATTTGCTGAATGATTTGCTTTCCACATTTCCCTTTTGGTCTACTTAAAAGCAATGAGCTTCTGACAGCAATTTGCTTGCCGGCTGGGGAATTCTTGCTGAGCTCTAAAGAATGCTGGATTACGCTAAATTGCTGAAGGGGGTGGGGGAAGAGACCACTAGGGTGGGGAGAGTCCCTATAAATAAAGGGTTAAAAGTAAAAGGAACTGGAAAGCACCAGAGCCTTTTATAGTGCCCAATTACAAAACTTTTGCTAAACTTTTATTATCAAACTTGCTAAATATCTTTTAAAGAAACCGACAGATTAATTTCATCTGTCTGTAAATATATAAATATTAAATGCATACTATTTGTTACAAAGAAATTTGATGTTTTCAGCATGGGACCATTTCTTTTAATTTACAAAAGAAACAAAAGTTCTAAAAGAGAGATTGCTTTAACCAAGAATATTTCATACAGAACTGGCCCTCAAATGTATTGAAATTGATACTACCCCAATAACCTCCCCACATCCATTCAGTCCAATATGATATAAGCCTAGCTGTTTAGGACTGTCAGTCCACTAAAATATATTTGTATTTAATTACAAGTTATCAAGGGACTCGGGTGGTGCAGTGGTCGAAACCAAAGAGCCTCCTGGGCTTGCCGATCAGAAGGTCGGTGGTTCGAATCCCCGCGATGGGGTGAGCTCCCATTGCTCGGACCCAGCTCCTGCCAACCTAGCAGTTCGAAAGAACAAAGTGCAAGTAGATAAATAGGTACTGCTCTGGCATTTCCGTACGCTGCTCTGGTTCGCCGGAAGCAGCTTAGTCATGCTGGCCACATGACCTGGAAGCTGTTTGCGGACAAACGGCGGCTCCCTTGGCCTATAGAGCGAGATGAGAGAACAACCCCACAGTCGTCCGCAACTCGACCTAATGGTCATGGGTACCTTTACTTTGCAAGTAATTAACTGGGGAGTGAGGGGAATCAGTTAAATTTAAATGTATTTGCTTATTTCCCAATTTTCAATAAACATGTCTCTTTTAAGATAGACAAGGAAGTAGGGGGAAAGCTGCCTAGGATTATAATTTCTTATACAATAACATACCAGAATCATAGCAGCCTTTACAAAAATAGATATTTATTTTTTTAAAAAAAAAAAAACCTTTACTGATTAAAATACACTATCCCTTATTAATTAAAACTTCAGCATTAGACAATTAAAGTTTGGACAACATCCCTGCCCTGCTATTATTTGAAATGCAGAACATTATGCAAAGTCTGCATGTTAAATTCCAGATTGTTTCTAAATAAAAACTTTGTCACGGGGACTTGTCTATAATTAGATTCAGGGACAGACATGTGTGTTGTGCTTTATGGTTTTTATAGAGTCTTAATATGGCTATACGGCACCTGCCACAATAAAGTTGGTGGCTAATGCGAGAGAGGCGGGAAACTAAGTGGCATGCGAGTTTTTTGTCTGACCCAGAAAAGGCAAGAAGACCACCCTACAAAATATCCTCAGTGCTAACTTTTGGTGTTGAGTGGGCACTCGTTCAGAGGATCCAGCAGATTATCAGATTAATATTCAATTAACGGCTAGGAGGAGGTGGCTACCTAGCAAAACTAAGGGTGTAAGTTTGGTTTAAGAGACCACCTGCCCAATCCTGCTTCATTGGCAAAGCTGCTTTCAAAGACCTGGACTGCTGAAATGGAAATAAAACCTGAATAGCTCACTTTTTATTTTATTTTTTAAAAGAGGAATGTTATGCCTAGCAGGCACCTAGAGACCATAAAAGCCCCAGCCGCGCCAAGACTCAAATGGCAACCCAGCATCTGACTAGTGATTTAGCACAACTGGCAACCGTCTTGGGCAACAAAGCCCAGCCTCCTCCAGCAGCGGGTGCCAGCAATAAAGGATGGGAATATTAAGAAGCTGCAGAGGAGAGACCGGGCACCACCAAAATATTCAATTAACGGATCTAGAACGGTAGTGGGTGGAAAAACCGAGGGCTGTGAAACTCTAGGGGGGGGTACTTCTGTCTGGAATGGGACAGAAAGCAGATCTGCTGCAAAAACAAAGGGAAGCTAGCAGCCGTAGAATCACAGAACTGTAGAGTCGGAAGGAATCAATGTTAGCCTTCTATGTCAATGTTAGCTATGTCAACGTTAGCCTTCGAGTTTTAGCACCCCGTAACAAGCTGTCTTCTTCAGGAACGAAGGTGTTTGCAATGGTTGGAACCAGAAAGAAAATTCATCCCACAAGCACTGTTTGCAAGCTCTGAGACAGAAGGCTGCGAGTTCAAATCTCAACATCCATCTTCCGCAGCTTCTTCTCCCCATGACTCATCCTGCCGTATAAAGAAGGGGATGTAGAGAAGACTATAAAGTGAAGGTTTGGGCCAACATCATGGTCCATGAACCTACTTTATCAGCTTTACCTGTCATTTGCACACCAATTGTTTCATTGGAAAGGGGTCCAGTAAAAGCCCAGAAGTGTGTTCACATAGGGTCCAATGGGTTGCCTTCCTTAAGGCGCGAGCGAAATTCTACTTACAGGAGCCAACGCCCTCATGAGTTCACTTTCCATCCTTGCGGGTCTTTCCGCAAACACACAGTACAGACAAGCCGCTGCTGGTGGGCTCACTCAGCTATGAACACACCGCTAACAGCATCAAGGAGATCAATCATGCACTAAATTGCTACTGAAAATATACTCTCTTTTCTGCTCTTATTTCTCCACACGGCTGACCTGCTATTTTCTGCTATATATTCTTTACATGCTGCGTCCCGGCGATTCTGACTCAAAGCCTGCCTCCTCACCAGCATCGCTGCAAAAATGAGGGTGGACCAGAGGCGCAGCCCCAGGTGTTCACGGGATGTGGACTTTTCGTTGTTGCTGTTTGCTTGGTTAAGTCTTGCTGCTGCTGCTGCTGCTGCTGCTGCTGCTGCGATTATTCTTATTTTCTCCTAACCTAGAAGAAACAGTCAGCTGCTTGGCCAATAACCAGCTGGAGAACTGCAGCCGCTGCTCTGGCACTAGGGGACAGCCTATGAATCAGCCTTTGGCCTCTATCGGCACTCAAGTAATAGGATAGCGTGCCAACCTTAGTTACATCAGACCCCTGGCAAGCCAAAGTACGGAGGGGAGGAAAACGGCCCGGCTAATTATACCAGGCACCCAGCAGCTCCAGCTAGAGCGCAGTCTTAAAATGGACATGGTTACACTTCCGGCATAATTTAGACTATAGATTATAGGCAGCAATTATGGGCAGCATTTAAGTGTTCTGTACTTGTATTCCGGGGAGGGTGGGGGAAGGCAGATTCCACTAAATTTAGCACTAAAGTAATCCACATTCTGGTTCTGGCAATTCAAGGACAACTGCATAAATGTAAATCGTTTACGACACGATACGATACGATAATCTTTATTGTCATTGTCCAATACATCGCAAACAATGGGAGAGATGACTTTATTTGAAGGGGCGGGAAGAGAAACTTACCTGTAGGAGCTGCATTTGCACAGCCAAAAATTCATTAAAAAATCTGGTTTGGTGAGAAGGAAGGGGTGCCACCTCTGCTTCCCAGGGCCCATGCTTTAGTCATAGGTCTAAATAGCACCAAGCACAGGAAGGGCTCTGAAATAAGCAGGCCAAACTATCCCTTTGCAACTCTGGTTCCATATATTAGTTGGTTAACCCAACCACTCTTTCCACTTGCTCCATAAACCAGGGTTCAGAATTGCTTAGCCTTCAAAACCATATCATAAGTACATTTAAAACATCCTCGAATCCATTATTCCAGCACTGGCAAGGGATCTTTAGTCTCCTACAATCTATACATTTTGTAAGCTAACACTTAGGAGTCACGCATGACATATTATCAGATTCTGAAAACATTTTTTGTATAATTGTTAGTTGAAATTTCACATATTAGGTCACTCTGCTGGACCATCCATATGCCAATGAATTATCTAGAGGAACAAACTACCAGGGAAAAACCCCCAGAAACTAGCTGTTAGGGGAATTAACTAAATGAATTTGTTTTTAGAGAGATGCCACTAATTCCCCCCCTCCCCCGAACAAAAAAAAAAAGAGCTGGAAAAGACAACACTTCCTTGTCTGCCAATTTATGCTAAAATTATACAGGGAGGGCCCACGTCTTCCATAAGAACTTCCTTGTTTTGTTATTCCAAAACGCAGGAATTTCCATCACTTTGTAAGGATTGACACCTCCAATGTAATTTTAAAAAGAACAAAAAAGGAAACAGTTGTTTACAGTGGGGCTATTTTTGAAAAGGGTGTGCAGGTGGGGGCGGGGAATCCATTTAGCAGTTTCCTCTCCTCCCCCCCCCCATCCCCCCAAGGTGTTAAAGGTTTATAGCACTTTTTGCAGGGCTCCATGAAGTCAAAAGAAGCTTTAAGCAAATTGAACTCTGCATGCAGACACAAAAGAGGAATGCTGTTATATGGGTCAAGCAAACTCTCCTTTGATCTTTCAACATCTGGATGGCTATTACATGGGGAAAGTCTGAGCTTCCCAAATCAGGGCATGTGGGCAGAGGAGAGAAAGCCATTCTGCAGAAGCAAAAGGGCATTGCTAACCTGTGTGTTTGTGCATGCGTGCAAGAGAGCTCAAATTGCAATTCACACATGCTCTCAAAAGCGCCATCTTCCTGTATTAGTAGCCAAATAGCACTGAGGGGGGGAAAGAATTCTCTCCTGCCTTTCAAAGGTAACCAAGAATACTGTAAGCTTTTTCCCCCCTTCCTCCCACCCCAAACTAGATCCTAATTTTCATAGAGCAGGAGACAAGGCAAAACAGTCCTATGAAATTACTTCCAGGAAATGAAATGTTGATTAAAGCGGGAGAGGGTCACGGCCATGATCCAGAAGTCTTACAGAAGGGTCCTGCTTCTGCTAACAGATGGGGCCAGAGAGCAAAAAGGCAGAACAAGGGATTCTGGGCTGTGCCTCCAATTCACCCTGGGCTTGAAGAAGAAGATGAAGAGTTTGGATTTGATATCCCGCTTTATCACTACCCTTAAGGAGTCTCAAAGCGGCTCACATTCTCCTTTCCCTTCCTCCCCCACAACAAACACTCTGTGAGGTGAGTGGGGCTGGGAGACTTCAGAGAAGTGTGACTGGCCCAAGGTCACCCAGCAGCTGCATGTGGAGGAGCGGGGAAGCGAACCCGGTTCACCAGATTACGAGTCTACCGCTCTTAACCACTACACCACACTGGCTCTCCCTTCCTTCCTACAAACTGGCTGAATGATGCTCCATCATGGGAGCCGATAAGCAATGAGGTTGTGCAGAGCAGGAATGGCAAGGCTTGTGAGGAAAGAAGCAGGAAACCTGTGGCGCTCCAGTGCTTTTGGGAACTCCCAAATCACATAAGCACCAGCCAGCATGGCTAACCGCCAGGAATGATTGGAGTTGCAGTCCAGCAGATTCCCCGCCTCCCCTGCGAGAACAAGGAACTGATGCATCTGGAGGAAAGAGAGAACCAAAGCACAGAACGCAAGGCCAGAGAGAAGATGATCGTAGCCATAAAGTGGGTGGTGGAATTTAGCGCAAGGATTCTGCATTAATTGAAGCCGAGGACAGATGGCAAGAGCGGCAGCCAGCAACTAGTCTAGACAAGCGGATTGTGCTTCCCAGTTTTTGACAATGTTATTATTTCAGCACCCACGACATGGAGAGTCAAGCAGCAAACAGAAAGGGACTGGGTCCACAGGTTTTCCCCAACACCCCTTGCCCATGGAAATCTAGAAGCCTACATAAGTTGAGCCCTGCTGGATCAAAGACCTGGATGGATAGCTCAGTCAGTAGAAGAATGAGAATTTTAACCCCGAGGTCATGGGTTCGAGCCCCATGTGGGCAAAAGATTCGTGCCTTGATGGGGGTTGGGCTAGATGACCCTCGTAGTCCCTTCGGACTCTACAATTCTATGATCTGGTCCAGTATCCTGCACTCACAGTGGCCAGTCGGATGCTTATAGGAAGTCCGCCAGCGGGTGCAAAAGCAAACCCCCCCCCAACTGCAATTCACAGCAAGTGGTATTGCAAAGGCATACCGATTCCAACGGGGTTAACGCAGCCATATCCCGAAATACAGCTCTGTGCTTCTAATCCATGCAATAAAGAAAAGAGCCAGTTCTGAAAATATTAGCAAGCATTCTCTGAACGTGATTCCGGGAGGTTTTCCTCACCCAGAACTAATAGCCGCTTGGAGAGAGTGATCTGGACTTGGTGTTGTGGCACAGGAGGAAAGGGTTAGGCTTTTGCTTCCCCACAACAACAGGGTCCCGATCCAAGCCCTGCCGCATCTCCTGCAACCGTGTTTAGTTTAGCCTCCAACAGGCAGGGCAACCTGTCTCCTTGCTTCGCACCTGATCATCAGCCTCCTTCCCTGCTGGAGAGCAACTAAGGAGGAAGGCGTCACACCGATCCAACATTACTGTGGCATGTTTATGGAAGCCACAGAAAGCAGGTTTTAAGCCATCCAGGCAACTTGTGATGTGGGCCACACACAGACCTTCCTACAGAAGTTATTTTATATGGGGAGCAGGTGGCGCTGTGCTCTAAACCACTGAGACTCTTGGGCTTGCTGATCAGAAGGTCGGCGGTTCGAATCCCCACGACAGGGTGAGCTCCCGTTGCTCTGTCCCAGCTCCTGCCAACCTAGCAGTTCGGAAGCATACCAGTGCAAGTAGATAAATAGGTACCGCTGCAGCAGGAAGGTAAACAGTGTTTCCGTGCGCTCTGGTTTCCGTCACGGTGTCTCGTTGTGCCAGAAGCAGTTTAGTCATGCTGGCCACATGACGTGGAAATCTGTCTGTGGACAAACGCTGGCTCCCTCGGCCTGAAAGCGAGATGAACGCCATAACCCCAGTCGCCTTTGACTGGACTTCACCGTCCAGGGGTCCTTTATCTTTACCTTTATTTTATATGGCTCATACCTACTCATGGCATTTAATTTCCTGGCTGAAAAAAAAGTTTAAAAGTAAGATTTGGGGGTGAGAGAGGGGATGGAAGATGATTGTTCATTATAGTACACTAGCAAGCACAAACATACTGCTTCATGTGGTTGAGGAGGGGTGCGGCAAAGTGCAGAGAAATTAGGGTTTAGAAATACAGGTGATCGTCCCCACCCATCCCCAAAAGTGGGGAGGGAGGATTGATTTTGGAAAAAATGTCTGGCGTATCAATGGCTAATTAGGGTATGCATATATTTCATCAAGGAAAATGGAACCATAATCTCATTACGGTCATATTTGGACTCTAGCAGGTCATTTGTTTTGGATGTTTATCCACAAGCACAAGGAAACCAGGCACTGGTTGGTAGAAAGAGGTTGGATTGCTGTGCAGCTGGAGAAACTCCTGCAAGTTCCAAAGATCTCAGGAGGCTGTTCCACAGTTAACTCGGAGGAGGGCTTTTTTTTTAGTGCAGTTGCCCCTCCAAACATCTCAGAAGGCCCCCGTTCAGTGAAATAGCATTTCTGCTGACACGCACTCTCTGCATTTTCCAGAAACCGCTGAAGACATTTTTCTTCAAACAGGTTTCCCAGCTGGAAAAATGGGTTTTTACTTTTGTTGTTGTTGTTGTTGTTTTTTTAAACTTTTCCTAGTTACCTTGTGTGTAAGTCACCTTCAAATGGTGGTTTGGAAGGAGATCAATAGATAAATTGTAACAACAACAAGCACTTCTACACAGTGGGTCTCATCAACTCCAATATCTCCTGGTCGTTATTTTGAAAATTAAAAAAGAAATTAGTGCCTTGCACCTTAAGCTGCAGGGAGTTAATTCCTTGACTATTGTCCTGCAAAGCTCTTTTGGAGAGACTGGTGTTTGGTGGGGGCAGAGGCACTGGTAAGATAAGAGCCCCGACTTAGATACACACAAAAGCCAGGAAATTCACAGTTAATGCTGAAAATTAGTGCTGACACGCCAGCTTTCTCTCCCACCATTAAGCCTTTTGGCAGAAATGGCAGAATCAAGGCTGGGGTGTCAGCTAAGATTTGCAAGCTTCACCTTGAAGTTCTTTAATGTTGGCCAGACAGCCCTCCGACGCTGTTATTAGACGTAGGAAAGCTGTGTGCGTTGATACACACCACGTATGTGCGGGTGAATACAAACACAAACACACCCCTCTTATACTTGTAGCTGCACACAAGTGATACAGGCTATATATCACCCTCCCCCCCAAAAAAACCCCCACCAATCACCATCATGAATTCTGCATTAGCAAACTTGTAAGATCCCAAGCTATTCTGCTAAAAGGGACCCGAAGCCAGGTTTAGTAAATGGCAGAATGGCACCAACAAACAGGGTAGCCATGGCAATCAAATTTTCACAGAGGGGTGTCAAGTCTAAAGAAGTGGCCTCTCCTCCGACTGAAGAGTGGCAGGCAAGCGGGGAGAGAGAAAGAAAAAAGAAAGTAACTATAACATTTGTATTTTGGAAATGGCATTTTCCCTAGAAATAAATTTCAAGGGATGGGAGACTCTCCAGCGCAGAACCGCCAAACTAGAACCAAACAAGTTTGATTTGATCTGCTAAGGAATAAATAGAAATAACAGTTTCTCATTCCTTAGCAAAGCCAGGGTTATTTTATTATCATCAGTTAATCCTGCTGTTGTGATTTATCCCTATATATTTTAAAGCTTTGATCTCACGTGGTAAAACATAAGGGTGTGTATGTGTGTGTACATATACACAACACACAAACACAAACTTCATGCATGCAATAAGGCAGACTGAGCACATGGATGCATTCAGGGCAAGACTTAAAAAGGAAAAAGAAAAAACCCAACCTGATAATCACTAGGATGTTGAAGCAGAACAATGGTAGGCCTTCGGTGAGGAGAAAGCAATATAGCCTCTGCCTGTTCTTTTCACACAATCCTGCCAATGCATGGGAACTGTATATAAATAGGTTTTTTGTTGTTTTTTAATGTACACACTGTTCTCTTTTCTTTTTTGGTAGATTCCCAGAATGGTTTGGCAATCTTCAAAGGCAGCTCTGCGAATTACAGCTCTATGAGGGAAACAGGGCTCTCCTAGCAACTCTAGGCACCCTTCCAACAAACTACAGCTCCCATAATTCTTTGGGGAAAGTCATGGCTGTTTAAAGCGGTGTCATAGTGCTTTAAAGGTGTGGTGTCGATGTGGTCCAAGTCAGCCTTAAAAAAAAAAAATCCCCCAAAAATCAGTCCAAGCACAGCTGCAAAATTAGGGAGGGAAAAAATACTGAAATTATGAAATGACATGTCCAGAGAATTTAATTCCAGATGAGCTGGATTAGCTAATCGCTGGGTTAAGAATTTCAAAAACTAAGAACTGATGTAATTAGGGGCTTCTGTCTCGTCAATTGCAAGTGCTAAATATTTAACTGTCAAATTTGCATCTATAGGGGAAAGGAGGATCACTTATTTTGGCAAAGAAATTAATGCTTTCGCACCTGAAGACTTGCCAGTTCAGATCAACATCAACCCAGTATCACTAGTAGTTTTTTAAAAAGCTGTTTAAAATATTTTTAAGCATTCTGTATAAATGCACTATTTTAATATGACATTAAGAAGGAACTATGCAAATTCAATGGCTCTTAGCCAATATATTAGCTACATAGAACCTCCATGTTTAAGAGGCGGTATACCTTTGAATAGGGACGCGGTTAGCGCTGTGGTCTAAACCCCTGAGCCTCTTGGGTTGGCGGTTCGAATCCCTGCAACGGAGTGAGCTCCCATTGCTCTGTCCCAGCTCCTGCCAACCTAGCAGTTCAAAAGCACACCAGTGCAAGTAGATAAACAGATACCGCTGCGGCGGGAAGGTAAACGGCGTTTCCGTGTGCTCTGGTTTTTGTCACGGTGTTCCAGTGCGCCAGAAGCGGTTTAGTCATGCTGGCCACATGACACGGAAAGCTGTCTGTGGACAAACGCCCACTCCCTCGGCCTGAAAGCAAGATGAGCGCGGTAACCCCATAGTCGCCTTTGACATCCAGGGGTCCTTTACCTTACCTTACGTTTACCTTCCTCATACCTTTGAATACCACTATAGCAGGGGTGGGAAACCTTTCAGGTTCAGCAGACCAGATCTTTATCTCACCCCACCCCAAAGGAACAATTACTTGCCAATTATCTGGCATCATGATGACATCAGATGATTGGCAGGTAGATGACCCTGTCAAGGTTGAGGACGGCAGGTGGGTGGGGGAAAGTGACCAAGCAGGAATCAACTGATGCATGGAATTCAACCCAGCTTCCTTTGGGGATTGGCTGTGCAAGCTCCAGACACTCAACACCTGATGTCAAATGTGACGTGATTGTGGCTTGGGTTGGGAAGACCTTGTAGGCCAGATGGGCAAAATATGACCTGCGCTATAGAATAAGAGTTATCTGGAAGTGCAGAAAGGGAAGCATATGTTTGGTTACTGTGGAAAGTAGGGTGTTTTGCTAGATATGCGGTGGATAACCTTGTCCTCCAAGGCCCTCCTTCTACCCAGTGATGATATAACCTTGCAAAGCTCAATCACACTGGGCAGAGCCTAGAATGAGGACCTCAACTGGCTAAGGAGCTCACAGGAGGAGAGGCTATCTCTTAAGCATGCAAGCCCCGAGCCATTCAGTTCATTAAAATACCAGCAAGTCCAATGTGCCCCTCTTATTTTTATGCCGTATGCTGGAGGCATGGACAACAGAAACAACCTGTTTTATTATGAAAGGTTTAGCGAAAGCAAAACCTAAGAACGCATCGCTCTTCATCCTCCGATCCACAGCCTTCACTCTCTGCTCATTAATCCAGGGGCATGATGGGAGTTGTCTAAAGATTGACAAGAAGCATAAAGACGGGAGCATCATTGAGTCCAATTAGTCTACCTTGGATATCTGAAGGGCTGACATTATCTCTGTTGGGATTTGAACCTGTTCTTCCTAAGGAGCAGAGGGCTTACACACACACACACACACACACACACACACACACACACACACCCCCCTGTCCATACAGTGAACTGGAATAATAGAGAGAGAAACTCTGGATAGTGGGAGCAAAAAAGTAAAGTCAGAGACACAGAAAGAAGCTGGAGTGAGAGGGCAATAAATATTAGGAGTGCTTTGCAAAAGAAAAACACACATCTAAGTTTGTATGTCTGAGGTTAAGGAATTCGGCCAGTCAGCCAAGGTTTGCCAGTAGGTAGATCGTGCAGAGTGGACTATCTGTTTTCGTATCAGATCCTAAAGGGCTAAATAACTGGGGAATAAGTCATTGTGCCAGCGCTCTCTGTCCTCCTGGGTCATTTTTTATAGATTGCTCTATAACCATCACACCATCTGTGACACTCTGAATTAACGCGAGATAGAATTACATACTTCATTGTTTGCTCCCTGACACATTCATGTTGCAGTGTCACTCAATATTACTCCAGACTGCATTGTAATGAGGATGACAGGTACCGATTGGGAGGGATTAATTTAAAAATCAAGGCAATTTAAAGCGCTGATTTAAAACCAAGATTCCCATTTTGAAGTGCATGCGTTTCCTGAACGAGAACAATAATAACAAGCTAGCCAGTTGATATAAGCAACTGGTTTGCAACTAAAGATACTTTTTTATAGACAATCTAGGAGGGATGTGCAAAACCATGGATTAACCCCCATGTACCATACTTTAGGAATTATATCTGCTTAGACCAGGGATTCTCAAAGGGTGTGGCACAATCAGTAACCACGCCTCTCTCCAAGAGTATTGGCTATTCTTCTACATTTCTCCACAGGGATTTTCAACTCTGACAAATATGCAAGATCAGAAAAGAGAAAGGCTTCTTTGTGTTGCAGAGGAGATGAGAGTTTGTCTCAAATCAGACCTAATATAAACAAGATTACCCGGAAAAAGCAAGCTCACACTCTCACTGGGTCTGTATACATCAGGAATAGGCAAACTCGGCTCTACAGATGTTTTGAGACTACAACTCCCATCATCTCTAGCTAACAGGACCAGTGGTCAGGGGTATGGGAGCTGTAGTCCCAAAACATCTGGAGAGCCTAGTTTGCCTATGCCTGGTATACGTGCTTAAGGTACATATGTAAAAGTTTCGTTTATAATTATATTCTGAGAATGGTTCCTGTTCTTATGTAGCTGCATTGTTTCAGATGTCCCATGATCATATTACACAGTAGTTGTGTTCTATGTTATAAATCAAGCACCGCTGAGAGTTGTTTCTTTTTGTTTTCCAATGTATTTTTTATCAATAATAATAAAAAAATTGGCGCAAGCCAATTTTTATTCTGCAAGTGTGGACCAGAGAAACCACATTTTAGAACCGCTATCTTACACACAGGAAACAGAATTCTGTTTGGTGTGCCTCTCTACATATGCAAGGATACTGAGCAAGTTCATTTACTTCAACCCAGTGCACACTTATTTGGAAGCAAGCACCGCTAAATCAGGTGGGATTTATTTCAATGTTATCGTTTTGACCTTCAAAGCCTTTCAGGGAAGTCTCATAGAACATGTCCAGAAAAGCCACTGGCCTACAAAAGGGGGCTGGAAGAAGAGGGCCTGACAGTTCCATCCCTTCTCCTGCAACCTGTTGTATTCTTAAAATGGACACAAGCTTCCCTCCTCTGCCAGAGTGCTGTAGTGGTTAGACGGTGGGATTAGGACCTGGGAGACCAGGGTTCAAATCTCTACTCAGCCACAAAGCTCATTGCGTGACCTTGGTCCAGTCACTGCCTCCCAGCCTACCTCACAGGGTTATTGTCAGGATTAAATTAGAAGGAGATGAACATGCAAAAGAGCTAATGCTTTCTAAACGTTGGAATGTGTGCTCCTTCCTTCGCTTTCTGGAGCAGATTCCACTCCACTTTGTGTCTTGAATTTAATACGACACCTGCACCAACAGAAATTATTAACTGCAGCTCCCTATTAAATCAGAAACTGAAGCTATAAATTTTGAAGCATGCTCACAAACCACGGTTATGAGGGAACCGTGAAACCATGGTTATAATGAAACCATGGTTAGCATTAACCCTAGTTTTGTTGGAGCAGTTAACCTCTGAACAGGGCTTTATCTAGCTCTCTCACTGAGCACCATGATCCCTCTTCAGGTCATAATTAATCTATATAAAGGTTGTTCAAATGAAATATCACATTCCGCTAATTTTGAATGTTGGAAGGTGGCACAGATTCCATCCACATTAGTTGCATGTGTGTGGGGAGGGAATATTTGGGTGTACACTTTGAAATCTGCTGTGTGCCCATTCCCATCAAGTAAGGTAAAGGTAAAGGGACCCCTGACCATTAGGTCCAGTCGTGACCGACTCTGGGGTTGCGGCGCTCATCTCACTTTACTGGCTTCCAGGTCATGTGGCCAGCATGACTAAGCCGCTTCTGGCGAAACAGAGCAGCGCACGGAAACGCCGTTTACCTTCCCGCTGGAGCGGTACCTATTTATCTACTTGCACTTTGACGTGCTTTCGAACTGCTAGGTTGGCAGGAGCAGGGACCGAGCAACGGGAGCTCACCCCATCGCAGGGATTCGAACCGCCGACCTTCTGATCGGCAAGTCCAAAGCTTTGTGGTTTAACCCACAGCGCCACCCGCGTCCCTCCATACAAAATCTTTATGTTTCGGTATATTTTATGTGTTGCTGTTTTTTAAAAAAGGGGGGCAACATTTTGACATTTCTGAAGGAGAAATTTTGAAAGCGCAAGAGTAATTACTGGTTATCTCAGACACCTGTTTGATCAAGACAAGTTAGGCACGCGGGTGGGCGTCCTTACTCAGTGGTTAATTCCCCCCCCCCCCCGGGATACACTTAACACACAATGCTTCAGTCAAGCAGCTGTGACAAGACAGAGCCCATGGTGTGGGAAAGGCAGCGCTGCTTAAAGGCACTTTGAATATATCTGCGAATAGGAAACGGCCACATATCGCTCCAGATCAATTGTGTAACCAGCAGCTCCCCAAGGCCTTCGGTGGGAGGTGTTGAGCGGCACTTCCACCTGAGATCCTTTTAATTTGAAGAAGCCAGGGATCAAACCCAAGCCTTTATTGCATCCAAAGCATGTGCTGTACAGCTGAGCCACGGCCTCGTTCCCTTCTTTGCTCCCTGCAAACTGTGGGCAGCTTCTAGCTCCTGGGAACATCCCTTCTGCTCCCAGCATCCTGTGCAGATTTGCCTACGGGTGTCAGCTCTGCACAGGATCTCCCGGGAGATCCTTTTATCTTGTACATCTGGCCTGAACGAACACATTCCAAAAATAGTATGGAAGGCAGCAAGCAGCGGTGGTGGCGGTCAGGCTTAGCAGACCTACGGAACACAGAGCATTACAAATGAAATTGCAGGAACAAGCAGCTAAGGGGCATTTCTGGTCCTCTCAGAGACTGGGCGAGAAAAAAAAAAGGATATTTTGAACACTTTTGTTGCTCAGGTAAAGCACACTGTTTTTCATTTGCTACAATCCTCCACCATTAGAATGCACACACAAACATCAACGAGCAATCCCTATTTATTTTTCAAATGCACATGAGGCCACAAAATTATTAAGTCTTTCCATTTATTTTTTTACTACTGTATCTTCCTTAATTTTTTTGGGGGGGAGGCACACATTGTGCTCCTTCAGAGGTAGTTTGTTCACCTTTCGTCCCCACCTGTGGCTCCTCAAGGCTGTCAGCACGAGACAGCAGCCACATCCTGGGAAAGGCTTTAACCGGTTGGCTAAACTAGGTGAGGGTAGCTGGTGGGTCTCTCAAACCCTCAGAGAGTTAGGGACTTCCCCTGCATGTGAAGACAGGCTCTGGCAGATTGAGTGGGCGAGACCAATAGTGGGTTCAATGGTCAAGTAGGCAGTTTCTGCATGTGTTGGAGAGGGAAGTGATTGGGCTCTTCAACCTGGGAAGGTAGCCCATCTGCGAGAAGGAGGCTGTTTCTGAAATATAGGCCCCAGACCATAAAGGACATAGGTGCCGATTGTAAACCACCTTGCCAACAAAGGTCTGTATAGTTAAAGCCATGGTTTTCCCAATAGTGATGTATGGAAGTGAGAGCTGGGCCATAAAGAAGGCTGATCACGAAAGAATTGATGCTTTTGAATTCTGGTGCTGGAGGAGACTCTTGAGAGTTCCATGGACTGCAAGAAGATCAAACCTCTCCATTCTGAAGGAAATCAGCCCTGAGTGCTCACTGGAAGGACAGATCCTGAAGCTGAGGCTCCAATACTTTGGCCACCTCATGAGAAGAGAAGACTCCCTGGAAAAGACCCTAATGTTGGGAAAGATGGAGGGCACAAGGAGAAGGGGATGACAGAGGACGAGATGGTTGGACAGTGTTCTTGAAGCTACCAGCATGAGTTTGACCAAACTGCAGGAGGCAGCGGAAGACAGGAGTGCCTGGCGTGCTCTGGTCCATGAGGTCACGAAGAGTCGGACACGACTAAACGACAACAACATAGATTTTCAGACATGCTGCTGCTAGATTTATGGCTCAATATGCTTCCAACTCTCTGTATGGAAAAGCAGAGAGGCCACACTAGTTTTAGACTTCCAAGGACAGAGCCACACAAAGTAGGGCCAGCATCAGACATCATTGAGCAGCTGGTTTTGCCATTTCAACAGCCGAACATCTCTAGGGCATTGTAGGAAGTTAAAATGGCGGTCGCCTACCACTACTTGGAATGCGGATATTCTTGCCACTGCTGCCGGTTAAGTCCATCAGGAGATGAGCAGACACACCAGAAGGTGGGTTGTGTTTTGCCTCAAACCTAGATCTGGCCTCTGACTTCAGTAGTCAACCGAGGAGGCTGCAACAAGGGTGTCCAATGTGGGGCCCTCCCACATGTTGTGGGGACTCCAACTTCCAGCATCCCTTGACCACAGACCGTGCTAACTGAGGCTGAAGGGAGTTGGAGTCCAATGAACATCTGAAGGACACCCGCTTTGGCTATATTCCTGGGTTACAAAACACAACTCCAAAGCCCGCTTCATCCGTTACAAATACATTATCCAACACTCCTTTTGACAATCGCTTTTCTGCCAATGCTGAAGTCACGAGTTTCTAGCTAGCAGGAAAAAAGCAACTGGAAATCAAGACTGCAGAAATTAGACTGCATTCGCTTCATTGAGATGTACTTATGAGGTGCAGTTTTATTTAAAGCGCACACGCACACACCCCACATAGCTGCATTAGTTATTCCTTGCCTCACTCAACCACAAAAATCACCTGATTCGCTTGGCATTTTAATAATTTGATTATCATATGAAAGCTTCAGCTATTTATTTATTAAATTTATATATCCGTCATCCGAGGATCACAGGGCGGATTTACAGCAGCTTTTGCTGTTGTATCGCTCTTTTAAGAAGCCTCCTAACCTACCGACAGAAAGGTGAAAATAATAATTTTGTCACTTGTTATTATTGCCACTAATAGGATGCCTATTGTGTTTTTTTTGTCCCCCCCCCCTTTTAAAGAGAAGTTCAGGGGTTGCCCCAGACATGGTAAATCTTTTAGTGCCCTCAAAAGTCATTCTGCCTTCTAGACATTCCACCCCCCCCCCCCCCCCGCAGATGAAAAAGAGGCCAGCGACCCATGAAATGTCCGGAATTCATTTAAACAGAGCTCAGGCAAAGTCGCAGGGAATCTATTGTGCTCAAGTGAAGTTCAAACGCAAATCCTGTCAGAAATGATGCCGCTCATTGGTCCCTTGGTAGCAAAGGGGAATTTTTTTTTCGGGGGGGTGGGGTGGGGGGGAGAGGAAAGGATGGGGGAGGGGAGGCTGGAAAGTAGAGGCCTTTT